GGAAGTGCGCAAAAAGCACGAACATGCAAAGTGAAGCTAAACGAAAGTGCCTCAATTTAAGTTGTAAGCTGATTTGCTACAGCATACGAGTAATATGGCAAAATACGCACACACACACACAACCACTCCCACACACAGATACACAGATACACACATGCGTAGGTTGTTTTGTGTGTGTATTCGCCATTGCCAGCAGCTCAGTCAAGTAGAAAAACTTTTGGCTCTAACTGTAACAGCAAATGCTCAAAATTAAGGCAAAACTTTTCGCCTTCTCTTGATTTTAGTGTAGTTACAAACTGTATGTTAAGTTTGTCCAGCACTTTGCTTTCCAAAATATTCACCACATGAAGGAAGACCAGAAACTTTTGATGATCCTCAGCTTACTCAACTTGAAACAAACAAAAGACTATTTAGGAAGAAGCTTTAATTTGATCAGATGAAAAACCTGCAACGATAACTAAAATCGAGTGTATAGAAAATAGGTTAAACAGATATTAAGTATGAGAAATTATGTAAATCTGTTTCACAAAGGAAATCAAAGGAAAAGCCATTAAGAGCCCACAAAAACTATTTAAGGAATTTTCACGAAATAAATCAGAGAGAAAACTGGAGAATGGGCGCCGGATATGCGAAGCTTAAATATAAATCATTTCGAAGCCATCAAAATACTAAAGTTAAGCAAGCTAAAATACGAGCCTTCAACAATGCTTAGACTGGCAGCTAGGGTAACTTAAATTTATCATTTAAATGGCAGACAAGAATGCTTGTTTGGACCGGACGCGTCTTGTCTTTGAGTTGGCTTTGGTTTTTTTTTTTTTGGTTTTGTTGTTTTTTTTTGGTCTGATTTTGACACAAATCCCATTGGTGCTAAAGCAATTTATGCGGTTGTAGCTATCGCAGGGACGCAGGACGAAGCACACACACAAAAACACACATACAGATGCGCCCTGAATATGCTTATATATACATATATGTGTGTGTATATATGTATGTGTGTGTGTGTATGTGAAACTGCCTTTTAGTATAGCCCATATGCACTTGACTGGGCTTTTTGGTTATGGTTGCTCGGCTGCTTGGTTGCTTGGCTGCCTGGTTTCATGGTTCACTCAGATTGCTTGTTTGCTGGCTGAAGCTGCATAAGTGCAATTTTATGTTTTGCCCAAGAGTTGATAAATGGGCAGGCACGAAGTGCCCCCGTCCCACCTAAATGTATGCATTCAATATGCGAATACAAATCTCTAAAGCTACATTTCCCAAACAGGCCCAAAACTGAACTATGTCTCAGCAACGACAACAATTTACATAAAAAAATGTAAATTCTTGCGCATAAATCTACAAATTGTCATACAGATATATATATATAAATCTATATATATAAGCATATTTTTTATGTTTTTGCCACGCCTAACGAGCACAGCCAACGCCTGTGCCTACCTTTGCCAGAAACGTGGTTGCAGATAAAAGGACCCAAAACTCCGCCCCCGACCATGCCCCCGCCCCCTCTTCCCCAACCCCTTGCTGCAAAAGTAATGCCCAAACATTTCATGTCATAAATTTAACGATATAAGCGCGAAAAAAGCTTCACAAAGCCAATGGCCGAAAAAAAGAAAAGCCGAATCCACAAAAAAAAAGAGAAAACTGGGTGACGAAGATTTAATACTCTTGGAAAAGTTCAAAAACAAACAGAAAACAGAATAGCTGAGAGTATTTAAGCTGTAAATAAAAGTAAACAAATTGCGCTAAAATAAACTGCATTTTCAGCGATTGATCCTCACATCATAAAATAAAATAAGAAGAAATTGTAAATGGGTTTTTAATACTTTACTATTATAACCAAATACAAAAAATTGAAACGAATAAATTGAATTGCAAAAAATAAATGTAATAACAATTAGCAGGATTATAAAAAGAAAAATATGAAATTGAATATAAAAATGTTGTTTATATAGAAAAACTGGCACTTCCATTATATCATTTCCATCAGACTCGACGTGTTGCAAGTTTCCCCTAAATGTGAAAACACCTCTCACAAAACCACACACATAAATATTGATTTACAATTCGTGTTTTTGTGTTTTTAGAACATTAATTTATTTTGGGCATAACCCAAACCCATTCAAATGGGCTTTACGAGATGTCTGTGTAACGTCCAAAAGCGATAAATTAATTTAAGTGCCTAAATATATATATGAGTATATATATATCTGATAACATGCGAATAAAATCAAACAGGGCAAAGCTGATACAGAAAATGTGTGAATCGGAGGACTATTAAAGAAAATGAGCTGAATTGTTGAACTAGTTTAATGGCTTCATCTTTGTCCAGGGGGAAAATTGGTAGCCTAGCCTAATATTTGACCAATCTATATGCAGGACTTTGCACATTTTATTTGTCTTATGCTTGAAAATTTAATTAAAAAACGAAGTTTCGAAAGAAAATCTTGCTTGGACAGAGGCGTACAAGATGATGGCCGGCAATGGGGCGTGACGTGGCAAGGCGGGTCAGAAATGGCAAAGTTGGAGCAGCGTTTTCAACGCCATCATCAGCATCGGCAGATACAACAAATACCCAAACAACACCAACAACAACAACGATTTCTCTTCGATTCGTTCGTTAAGAATACTTTCTGGAATAAATTGTGTTTTGGGGGAATTGAACGTCTCTAAAAGTTGGCGGGGGCTGTGTTGGTGTGAGCAATAGATTGTAACTGGCAGAGAGTTTGGGTTTGGGTTCTTTTTTTGGCTGCGAATGCTGATGCGGATGCGGATGCGGATGCTGGCGTTTCGCTTCGTTTGATTCTTTGGCAGTGTTGCTGTTGTTGCTGTTGTTGCTGCTGTTGTTGCTGCTGTTGTCGCTGGGGAGTGGAAAATTAATTGCATGCAAATATTGGCGGAGCGACGCAAGTAAATATAATTTCGTTGTTTGCTCATAAATACGCATTATTATTTGGCAGAATGAAAAATAAAACGAGCAGCAACAACAAAACCGTATTCAACACTCACAAAACACAAACAAAGAACCCGCAGCGAAAGCAGCTCGAATATAAGTTACCTCCTTATAAAGATGATGAATAATATATAACCTGGTTGGGATATATTCAGTGGTGACTTGTGGACATCTCTATATATCAACAATAACCCATGACTTATACAAAAAAATATTTTATCTATAAAAAAACCTGGAAAATTAACTGATTATAGTTTTTGCAAGCTTATAAGACAAAATTAATAATATTTAACTTTTTATTTTTCATGCTTGAATAAAGATATTGAGATATGTATTTGAAATGCATAATACAAATAAATTAAATCCTACAATTCTTGACATCATTAATCAGCTAGACATGAGTAGATTCACAATTTTAAAGGCAGAATATAACTTATAATATAATATAACTTGTAAGTTTTCTAACAATTAACTAAGAAATATTCAGGCTTAGAAATATTCCTTTGTTTATGTTAAACAATCAAAAAACAACAGAAAAATAAACTGATTATAGAATTTAAAAACTTAACATTTATAACCAAGTAGGATTAGAATCAATAACTTATGATATTTATTTAATTTGTGAAGAAATAAGAAAGATGCTTCGAACTCAATTCATATCAAATGAAAATCCACTTAACAGATTTAAAAGCTTCAGCTCTTATATTTCTTAAGATAACTAGTTTTATGCAATAAGACGCAATCAAAAAGATTTAAAAAAGATCAGCAGTTATTCATGACTACATAGATAATTTTATAAAATACACTTTAAGCACGTACTCTTTTTAATACCAACCCCATAAAATATTTGAATGTGGACAGGGTATACCCAAATCCAAGGCAAAGACAGCATCTATTTTGGCTTACAGAAATAGCAAGAATTTTGGTGTGAGGGGGTGGCACATATTACCCATACATCAACAGATTTGAACATTATCTAATCGCTTTAAACAGTTTGTGAAAATGTTGTTGCTTAATTAGCCTCATTATCTTTGATGGGGTCACGCACAGCTGAGTGAGCAGATAAGGGGCTAGAGCACAATATGGGACGGTGAGCGTGGAGCGGGGAAGCGGGGAGGATGTTGATAAATAGGGTGTTCCTTTCGCTTTGAAAGTGGTAATTAATGGGCAAGTCGAGCGAAAGCATTTTCAAGTGATAGAGCGCCATAATTAATGGGCGTGATAAGCAGCAAAGGTGAAAGCGAACTGCTTCTAATTAGTCAATAATTGAAGTAATTTCTCCATGTAGTTGCTCGATTTACTTTACTTTCCGCCATAACTTTAAGACATTCGAATTAATGTTGCCAGCGCTGCGTGCATAATCATCAAAAGCACACTGTGCTGCCTTCCTCTGAAAACTTTACACATAAATTATCATGCAAAATTAGTAGGCACAACCCTCGAGCAAAAGTTGCCGCACAAAAACTGTGCTACAATTTAAAATTGAATAAGAAAAAAACAAAAAAAAACAGCGCCGCCCTCTTGGCTTAAGATGAAATATGGTCTGCATGCCCTGGCAGAAGTAAGTAAGTAAAATAATCACAGTCATGTCAGATAATAAATGATTAACGTCCCATGAACTCCTATCTCACTCAAATCCCAGGCATATTTTGCTTTGGTCATTTATTTGTTACTCCAAGTCAGCAAAGGGACAGGATGCACTTTAAAGTTGGATGAATGCTTCAAAAATTTATGGCAAACGGACAGTGTGTATACCCTGTACCACATCAAAGTATATATATAGTGGCATCAGCATCCCTCAGATTTCGTTGATTTTACTGAAACTAAAACTAAAAAATAGAAAGTGCATAGAAGAAAATACTGAAAGAAATACAAAGATGTTTTGTGGTCATTTTTAAATTTATTCAGCGAATCTTCTCTCATCTATAGACTACCTTATAGGTATAGGTGATATAGGGCATATAACAGTCCTCCATATATTTAATTCCAAATTCTAAGAAGCTGCAATAAAAACTACTTTTGACCTTCAATTAAAAAGCCCATAAATTCGAAATGTAGTTTTAAGTTTTAATAGTTTCCAAGTTTGTAAGCATAGCTGACAATTTACTAATATATGCAGCACTAGCTAACTACTCGCCACATACAATATATATATATATATATAGAACTACTACTACGCCGAACATTGCAAAACACCCGCATAAATTTAGAAACTCAATTGACACAAGAGTGCCGTGCCGCGTATAATCCAGTGGGAGATTGGCGTATTGGGATTACAATTGAGTAGCATGGCCACAACAAAATTGGTGCTGTGTCCCGTTGTGGAAAGGATGCCACGTCGCTCTGCCGTCTTGTACAGTGGACACAAATAGTTGTGACGATCGGGCAGATCGGTGCGCTTGAGGGGCCTTAGCCATATCAATGGCATCGTATCGAACAATATGCGTGGACGCGATTCCATTAAATATTTATTTTTGCGATCCCAGCAAGCGCCCTCCAAGAAGATGCCATACACAAAGACACCATCCTCGGGCGCCGGAGTACCTGCCATTTGTGTTTCCTCCAGCGACAGGACCTCATAGTCAAAGGCCAACAGATCTATGGAAATCACATATTTACGTGCATAATTCTGCTGGGCACCGGTCAGAAAAGCCTGTGTAAAGAAGAAACCCGATAGCCAGAAGGTTGACGGTGCTCCATGGTCATACCAATGCTGCAAACAGAAAATAACAACAGGTTTAGAGGGGTTTGTTAGAGAAAGAATAAAATAACAACAAGAAATACATAAATCAATTTAATAAATACTTAATATTTATAGTTGAAAACACGTCCTTTAAATAATATATATAATAATAATATATTATTATTGATTGTCCAATTAAAAAGCAATCTTTAGAATTTTGAGGCGAGCACTTTTTCTTTGAGGCGTCTAAAAATAGGGTCACAGCTGGGACGAGTGGCCTAGTAAACACAATTGCTGCCAGGACAACAACAACAGCAGAGCCCTGGTTGCCATGACAAATTGTTGGCTCGATTGCGAAAACTTACCTGCAGGAATTCGAGGCGTCGCAAAAAGTCCGCCACATAGCTGCCAAGTGGCTTGAGACTGGGGTAGGACTTGCTGGCCCACATAGCCGGAATTTTGGCAATCAGCACGGATTTGTAGACGGCCTCCACGGCAGCGGACATGACCACCAGACCTATACACAAAATATAACAAATAAGCAACAAAAGTTAAATACAAATAGCAGGCGCTGAAAACTCTGTCAATATAATCAACAACGTTGCCAATTACGATTGCTGAGCAATAAATTCAATTAGACAACGTTCGACTCACGTGCAGCACTTAAGTGATTATCAAAAGTTTTCGAAATATTGTGTGATTGGCAAAAAAAAAGCAAGAAAAACAAACAATGCCTGCGCAGCAGGAGTCGGGCACCATGAATGTCCTTTACGTGACACGAGGTATGCGTCACAGCAGCACCCCCTCAATGCACAGCTCCTCAACCGGCATCGGTGAGCAGGCGAAGCGGATCAAGAGCTCCAGCTCCAAGGAGCAGCTGCTGCTGGTGGAGCAGCAGCCAAAGCATGCCAAGCGTGTGACATTCAGCAGGCAACAGAGACCTCAACAGACCACGGTCAAGGACAGTGAGATGCAAACAGGACTCACATCGTGCCTGATAACAAATCCCTCGCGCGATCCACGCGCAGCAGGCGGTAAGTTATTTAACTTGAAAGTTAGCAACTAGAATGCCCAATTAGGCCATCTTCAAAATAGGTGCCAACAATCCGGCGGAACGCAAAGTTGGCTGGTTGGCGCGCACGGACAGCGAATGCCAGTTTAAGGCACCTGGCATTGATTTCCTCACCGATCGGGAGACCGATGTGCACACGTTCGAGGTGAAGATGCGAGAGTCGTTGCAGAGCGTCAAGGATTACACAACCAAGTGCGACTATTTTCCCACCTATGTGGACAAGCGACGCTACAAGGATCAAACCACACAGACACTTTATAGGTATGTCCAAAAATTGAATACAATTATAATAATAAAAAATAATAACCTGAAAATTTTAATTTAAAATTGCATTATTTGATAATTTATACAATATGAAAAATATGTTATAAAGTAAAAGTTGGCTTTAAAGAAGCACTATAAAAAATATTGGAAATTATCCGTAAAATTATCTTTAGTTAAAGTAATTTTGCATTATTTATAAGAGTTAGAGATTATTAATTAATTTCTCTTTGGCTCAAGTTATAGCTTACGTAATTTAATGCAGCAAAATAAGATGAAAATAAGAGAGAATTTTTTTAAAGAAATAATTCAATAAATTAAATAATTCAAGTCTAAATCACCAACTAAAAACACAGGGAATCATCGGCGCAGACTGTGGCCTATTTGCCCGATATTATGGACAAAGAGCAGGATGAGCATTTGGAGCTGTTCAATCTGGCCACACTGCTGCCCGGCGACAAGCCACCGGGTCTAAATGAGGTTGAAATTTTGGAGCGTGCCCGCAAACGTTGGGCCTTCAACCAGGCACTGAAGACGAGCTTCAGGCGCCAGCTGCACGAGGCGCGGGAGAAGGCGATCAAGAGTAAATATCGTCCCATACTGGAGGCCTTCGAATGGGAGCATTGGATGGAGCGGGAAGAGTATATACAGGAGTGTCAAATGATGCGACTGGAGATCGTCATACGAATGTTTGACAAGCGCGAGAAGCAAATGCATGCGGAGTCCAAAACTCGGATCGAGGTCGCCTGCGAGGGCATCGAACAGAAACGCCAGCGAGGATTGGCCAAGAACGAGGTGGAATATCAGCGGGCAATGCGTCGATTGCAGATCAAGAATGCGGGTCTATCACGTCACTGGGTGAAACAGAGTCCCATGTATGCCCTGGGCTCACCCTGCTCCGAGTTCTATGGACCACTCATACGACATGGTGTCGATCCGGCACGACGCAGTTTTGTTGGCGATGGAAGAAAAGCATTCGATATGCGCATCGATGATCTGGAGAAGCGTGTCGACATGGATAAGTTGCAGTGTCCGTTTACCAAATTGAAGGAATGGTCCAAGCCCAAGGAGTATGTGAAGGAGTACGAGCAGAACTTCTGCTCCGACAAGCATCTGCAGAAGCTTTATGAGTCCCTGAAGACACTACGCTCGCAGGCAACCAAACAGAAGACAACGCCCAAGTGCCTGAAGCGACGACCCAAGCCGCCCTCCGAAGACGCAGAACGTCCATCCTTCAACTTTGAGGACACGCCCAACATTCACGATTACTTCCAGGATCGACGCAAGCTATCCAGTCTGCAGTCCAAGAACAGGGATTCGGTCTACAAGCAACAAAAGTTGGCCATTGAGCAGCATCTCGAGTACGAGGAGCAGCGCCGTCGCCAACCAAATCTGGCCAAGGAAATGTTGCGCGAACGACGCAATGAGGATCTGGAGCAACTATTGCATATGTACGAGGGCAGCACCATTGGCTGGATTATGCAATTCCTATCCGAGGAGATGGAACGCCTCCAGGAGCAACGTAAACTCCACTTCTTCGCGATCCTAACACAAAAGGAGCGGTGGCGTAGAGAGGCAGCCGAGGCCGGTCTACGCCAGAAGGAGAACGATATGCGACTGGTCTACGAGGAAATGTTCCAGCGATGCAATGTGGTGCATACCGAGACGGCTCGTGCATATATCGATACGATATTAACCACCGATATGGCCCATATTGCCGAATGCGATGCGGCCGAAACGGTTACGTTGATGGCCAGACAAATCGATGCGGATATTCGGCGCTGGCTGGAGAGCTTCAAGCTAATCCAAACGCCACTGACCTACGAATCCCTACGGAATATGCTGCACAACATGGTCGTGCCCGATTTGAATGTGATGCTCGTGAAATACGAAAAAGCCCTGACAGTCAAATACATTATTGAGGATGTGCTCTTTCCCCAAGTCTGGGAGAGTCTGGACTCCTATGACATAGCCAGCGTAATTACAAGCGATATGATTGATCGCTTGACTGATAACGATCTGTTGCTCTTCTCCACGGAAAGCGAAGGCGAGGAGCCGCCCCAACGTGAAGCGGAGGCCATCATAAGAAAGCTGATAAGGCAGGCGGTGCCAGGACGTCGCTGGAAGACCGCAACCGAGCGGATTGTCCACGAGAATTGTGTGACACTCTTTGATGATATTTTCGCACAAGTTATGGAGAGAATGAATGAGGAATCGTCCGATGAGCCCGTCGATCTTCACTTGGCTTGCTCACGAGCGAGAATTTCGCCCACAGATAAGATTCGTGATATCGAGTCGGAGTTACTCCGGGTAAGGGAACGCGATACTCTCGGTGATGGCGACTACGATACGACATATGAGCGCACTCAAATCCTTTCGCTGCTCAAGAAAATGAAGATCGATAACATCACTAAAGACCTGACTACGGACGAAGTATATGATGACACTGGCACAAAGGAAATCATCGGTGGCTCTCAATTCCTCAATTTGACAGTGTTCAATCAGGCGTCCGAGCAGCAAATGTATAATGACCAAGTATTTGGCATAATAAGCACCGCGGACATTGGCAAGGAGGAGGATTTCTCAACGTTGCATTCAAAGCCCAGAGAACCGTCCGGCTCATCAAGTCCACTTAGCATTATTGGCATTGATTTTGGTGAGCGTGAAACGCAAACGCGGCAGGAGGATCAACTTATTGGCGCCTTAAGCGATATAATTTCGTATGCTAGTGATGAGGAAGGGATCATAGTCGAGGAGGAGAATACCGAATATGAGGCGGATGATGAGCGCAGCTGGTGGAATATGCAAGTGGAAGACGATGAGGAGATGAAACAGGAGGCGAAGCAGGAGAAGGACGCGGTCTCAAGACTAACGCTGATCGATGAGAACGATGAGATGTTGCTACAAAACGCATCTCGGAAGACCCTGAATTTCCAGTCCAAGCTCGACACTGAGAAGCTAAGTGGCATGATCAGTGACTATGAATTGCAGCCAATAACCGAAGACATCAATGAGTCCAACCTAAACAAACAACCATCGCGCTTGCAATCGAAACGCGAATAAATTCCCATATTATATTTTGTTAAAAATGATTTCAAATTAAAAGTTAACTAGTTTTCAAGAGCATGTATTAAAAGCACGATTTTATTTTACACACAAGAACAAGTTCGGACTAGAACTAGAAGTAAGACTAAGGCGCCTAATTGATACCCTGAATCCAGTTGTTAACTATATTAGACCTTACAGGGAATCTGCTAGTCTAAACTAAATAAGCTGCTTGCAAAAACAGCTGATCAATTGGCAGGCAATATCTTTATCGATTTGTATCGATCAAATGAAATAAATTTGATCTGTGAAAGTTTTACGAGAATCTAAATTGTCACTTTGATGTCACTTATTCAGATTATTAATGCTATTAATGCTGATCAAGAATATATATGTACACCTTATATAGTCGTATGTGCTTACTTACCTTTGATGCCCTTCTTCAGTGTTATCAAACTGGTGCGTATTGTGTTGAGCAGCACATTGAACCGAACCATTTCCTGGACCAGCACCGTATTCATGCTCTGATGATAGAGTGTTGGATAGCGCAATAGAGCCGCCTCCCGATCGAACAGTTTGGGCAACTTATCCAATATATCGGTGGCCACATTCGTGACCACCTCCTCGGGTGTCAATGCCTTGGAGCCTTCGCTGTCGTCGCCTGAAGCACTGGTGTCCTTCAGTGGCATATTGTAGAGTGCAAGGAATGGGGGACAGGTGGTGGGATAAGTGGGTAGGGAAAGGTTTTCGGGAAAACGTTGCGACAGCACATCTACATAAAGTCTCTGGCTTTTCTCCAGTTTCTACAGCGCAAGCATTTTTTCAGCAATTACAAAAAATCGAGCCGTTAAAAAAGCGATTACCAGAAATACCCTTTGCACAGCGAACTACTTACGCGTTTCTCATGGAGATCCTGTACGGCATGCATGGAGCAAACAATGTGTGTTTAAAGATCATTTAGAAGTATGAGTTAACTTCGGTGTACTCCGAAGTCGAAATACCCTTGCAGATAAAGAACAGAAGTACGAAGTAGTATTTGTATTGTTCCTAAAACCAGACATAATCAACAGACAAACATATAGCTACATAAAATCATCGGTTCTTAATCGACAAAATTTAAACTTAATGGAGATTAACTTTTCGAGATAAAATAGCCAATTTTACACTAGAAGATACCCTGCTCAAATTGAAAATCCAAACTGCAAAATCTGTGTTTCTTAACAGATCCTAATGCAATTTATACAGGTAATCAATTATATGTCTGGGTATATTATATACCAATTGGAAGGCTATATTTCTACAAATGTATTATTTTTTCTGAAATCGATTAGTATCGATACTCCCAACTTCGATACAAGAACTTATATAGCAAATTTTGGCTTTAAAATGGGTTCAGTCTATATATTCTGCAAGGGTAAACCAATTCATAACTTGAAATATGAAACTTACCCAGCGTTCCTGTTAGCAGCAGCAGATAAAATTGTATAGGCAAGCAAATGTTTAGCAGATTATAAAGCAGAAAATATTGTAATACAAGACATATATATCAACTATGCCATAATTCAATACAAACCCAGTGCTTACAACACTCTACAGTCCAACTTACCTGTGTCAATAGTGTGTGTGAGAGCAGCATATCCGTTTCCTGTTGATCCTTCATGATATCGGCATTGGCATGGAAACCGAATATGGATGGTGGCGATATGTGCGGCAAATCACGGGTAAATGTTATATATAACTCGGCCTCCTTCAACACGGGCACATAATAGAAACTCGTCTCATCCAAATAATATGTATTCTCCAGATCAATAACTTCGGGGCAATAATATCGATTCAAGATCGTTTTGAGAGTGCGACGATCCCAGTCATCTGTGACACGACCACCATAATTACACTCTCCGGTCAGATAGCGTAGGGCATCATAGTTAACCGTCTCGTACTGATTGAGGAACATGCGCAACTGCATCAGGGAAATTCGCAAATCCGTCTCATTAAACTCATAGGGTATGTTCCAGCCAATGGGTCCAAAGTAGCGACGCTCCTGAATCACCCCATGGAAAAAGCACAACGCGTAGATCAACTGTTTGAAGACGCGTGGCTGAGTGCAGGATTCATACCATTCCAGATCACTGATCGGATCACTCAGCATGGAACGTGTAATGTTCGAGCGCAAACCCTTGGGCGGCTCATTGGTCATCTTGATGCCATTCTGCAGCACCACAACCGGAAAATGTTCCGCCGGATACGAGGTGAGCCACAATCTGAAATCCGGATGCGTTGAATCGGGCAACAGATTTTCGCAGACCTTCTCCAGCAATGGCATAAAACTGGCGGCCAAATGGCAATTCTGCAACACGACCCAATTGCCCAGTTTGACGCCCTCATCAATCATCTTGATGGCAATGGGACCCTGACCCTGACCCAAGGACAAGGAGAACAAACGATTGGTGCCAAAACCCTGATCCTCGGCAAATTTGAGCAGTGTTGCCGTTGGATCTGAGCCGGGTGTAAGGACAAATATCATTGGGACACAGCAATGGGAGTCGGCAAACGAGGCCATCAAATCAAATTGTGGCGGATCCACAAAACGTGGACCCATCTCGGTGGAGACAAAATTCAGCACGGCTGGCACCAGTTTATCGGGTCGAAAGACACGCAACAATAGCAATTTCTGGAACATGGACAAACGTTGCCAATTTGTTGGTATCGATTTATTATCCTGCGGTGTACGCGAATCGAAGAACGCCTTCCAACTGGACGCATTCGCAGTGACATCCTCGCGTAATCCCTTAAAGTTGGGTAAATTGGTCAGGCGACAGCACTCATCCCAATTCTGTATGCCCAGCCAGTTGGTGGGATTCTTGAAGGGATTCTCGAGACCAACGCCGCCCGTCAGTAGAAACATCCATTCGGAGTTGTCAATCAAATTCTCATGCTTCAGCAGATTAATGTTCAATATGAGCGAGAACAAGAGCTTATCCTGTCATAAGAGTACAATTTTATTAGCTTTTAATGCGAACACATATATATATATAGAGTATATATGGGTTTAGAGAAGCAATCAAAGCATTACACCAGATGCCATTTCACTTTTCTTTTCTCGTTTCTTTTTTTTTTGCCAAGCAAATTAAAAGCCAAGGGCCAAGGATCAAAGGGGAACTGATGGAAAAGGCTAAGCAAAGGGCACATCGCATAATTGACTGAAAACATCATCAGGCCAGAAAGGACGTTCTCCTTTTTTTTTTGAATTTGCTTTTTTTCTGTTTTGTCCTTTTGCACACACACTTTTGATACCCGGTGATGTTATCACATTATACACACACAGAGTGAAAGTGGCACAGTGGGTAAAAGAAAGTTGCGTATATATGAAGAGCTGATGAACTCAGAGCGATATGTACTGTATACATCCTACGACTGGAAAGCTTAAGTAGCTGTCATAAAAGAAGGTACTTATGTAATGAATGCATTTCTCCGTATCACACTCAAAGCGAAAGCATGCATTCCAATTTAAAGATTTCACAGTGCTCTGGCAAAACTTGACACCTGGGAACAGGCGCAAAAAAAAAATGGGCGCTGTCAATTGAAGTGGCAGCCGAGGCACGAGTCCTTAAAGTCCGTGCAGGAAGCTGTGGCATCATTATAGCGCAGTGAAGCGCAACCAAACGCAGCCGTTGAGAAAATCAAGCGCTTAGCAAATACGCTTCAAATACAACGCAATGGGATTAAAATCGCAATTACGACTCAAGTTTGATATATATATATAGCTTAGTGGTGACCCAAAAAAAAATAGTTGGGAACATTTAAGCCGACTACGGAATACTCTGATACCAATGAGACAAAGAGGCATACAATTGTTGAAGGATTGCCTATCTAATTTAATAACTTTGCAGATGATATAGGCTACATCTTCTAAATTTTATGGCTCTAAATCAAAACCTGCAAAAGATATAGCCATTCCCGAAGGCTTGGAAAAGGTGCACGTGGCAACGCCGATCTTTGAAGGACATCACCAAAAACGTACCAAGCAAATTTGTTGAATGTGGCTTTGAGATGATAGAAGATATGGGAATTAATCGATTTGCGATTATCAGACAATTATATATTCCAAGAATAAAGGCTACAGCTTTAAGTTGCGGCGGCACAGACTACAAAACTAATATGCCACTTTGCATCTCCGATATCAGAGTATCAAATAGAAAACCTAACCCATGTTTGATGATAATTGGCATTGAGCTGAGCTGAGCTGGGAAGTACTTACACGCTCAAACAAGCTGCGACAGATGTTGACGTAGAGGTTGTAGGTGAAATGATTGCGCAAGTCCTTCAAGCGCGCCTCAATGTCATCGACCTTCTCCGTATTATCAATGGACGACATGTAAAGATTGACAAACCAAGCCAAACTATACTGATACATGGGATCAATGTTGGCCAAATCAACTGCAAGACAAGTTAAACCAATAACATAGTAAGAGCTTTGGGTGGTGGTCTCAGTTAGTTTACCTATGGTAAAGAATAGAATTGTCGAGTGCTCGGCAATGGGCACATAGCTGAGGCGGGCCGAATCAATTTGCTTTTCAGTTGCCTCCGTGATGACCTGTTTCTCATTGATGTCATTCGCTAAAGCTTTGGCCGAGCTTAGGATCTGCACAGCGGTTTCATCCTCTAAAATATTCTCGGCTGATGAGAGCACCTCCAATATCTGATCCTCAGTCTCTTTGAGCATCCGTTTATTCTCGGCACCCTGAACGATTAGATTATTCTTCTCGGCCTCCAAATCGGGTCGTTCTCTTGCCACAGTTATGCCCAGCAATTGATCCTGTAATCCTTGTGTCGTAATCATGAAATTTAATAGCGTCACCTTCACAGCCACCTCTGGCAGATAATGGGGATTCCTTAGCTTGGTTGTCATATAGAATCTGTTCAAGGCAATTCAAGTTATTATTTATAATTCAAATGCATCATTCATAATCTATACTTGAAACTGTGATTGTATTCAATAACTGAATCGCCCAGTTTGATGCACATTGTGCCGCCCTGTTTGAACAATTGTTTCAGCAAAATGGACTCCAGTATGGGATCCAGTTCCTCCCCAATATTCTCCAGCAGCACTGGCAAACCGAATTGTATGGCATTCTCCAGGACTCGGGTGTAATCTGCTTGATTCAGTCGTATGACACACAATTTGTTGTTCTTCTCATAGTTCTTAATCCATTTATTTGCCTGCCCCTGTGGATCAATCATCAGCGGCCAGCGACGTGCATTTCTATCAAAGAGATTGTAAAGAAAACCGATAAGACTGCTATTCGAATGGGTTATACCCTAAGACAAGTTTAAAGTCTGTTAAATCGAATAAAGTAAGAAGTATGCAGTTACCAAGGACCCTCAATATGCATTTTATACTTTTGTCCTACGATTATCATTATATTCAATTTTATTTTGTTTTTATATTAAATCAGAAATCAATGCCATTTTTTAATCGGTTCCTGTTAATCTTGCTACTTTAATGAAAAAAAAAAACCTTTTAAGTGCCCCTGCTGCCACATTTAATGGTTGCATGGTAAACAATTTTCAACAAGAAAAATTTTATAATCCATAAATAATTAATATTTAATTTGCCGACATCACCAGTTCAGAATCAAGACACACATCATTCAAATAAATCGACTGTCATAGATGTTAAGTGATTGATAAATAGATACCCTAAGATTTGTGAAGTTAAAGAGGCGTGGAAAACTGAGCTTAGATTAGAAATAAATGTCATAAACGTGACTAAATTGAATTTTGAGTGATTCCAAGTTAAACTAACTTTAAAGTAAGAAATATTCATATTTCAACTAACTCTATATGCCGCTCTCAAGTATTATTTATAGGGTACATTTGCCGCAAAAAACTGTCAATATTTTATAAGCGTAAATAATGCTATTGGAATTATAAATATAATAACCAATATACAAAAATGGAGTGGAATATAAAAAAGCCACACAAAACAATTGTTCGCTCTTATGTAGAAATACACATAGCGATATATATATATATAAATAAATAGGTATTGTATAGTGACTGTTTAAGTTCTTGAATGCGATAACTCACAGATACACAGATACACAGATATGCAGATACGCAGATACAATAGGCAGGCAACAATATAAAGCAACAACAATAAGAATAAATGGTCGCCTGGCAACGCGACAGCAGAAACACATGACAAATTCACACCGAATACAAATTGTTCATGCGAATGAATGAACATTTTTGTAAATTGAAAACTTGATGAATGAAAAATATTTGATGCAAAAACAAAAGAGCCAATTTCAAGCCACCCAACCACCACCACCCGGTCCCCTGTCCGTCTGTGAAAAATGTCAGCGAACAAATGCGCATACTACATGCCAAACAAAATGACTATACGGTCTGTATATAAACATATATATATATGTCTGTTTGCATATATACATACATATATAGCTGGCCAGGCACGGACAATACATTGGAGAATGCAAATACGAACAGAGAGGAAGGCAATAGTCGCGAGTGCTCGACTAAGGCATATGCTGTAGACAGCTCTAAAACGGTCACTTTAAAATATTGCTGATTAAAGATGAAGAATTGAAAATGTGATTATAATATTATTGATGATTTCTAGTTTATACTAATAGAGAGGTGAAACTTTATTAAATCAATATACTCAAAGCTACAGGGTATTAAAGGAACCTTTGCTGGAGGGAGTGTGCTGGGCAGTTGGAATATAAAAAGTTGCCACAGTTCAAAAGCACCACAGGGGCCACCAAGCATTGAGATTAACCAAAACAACCAACAAAAAAACTGTATATAAAAGAAATAAGGAAAAAGGAAAACTGACCAAAAAATTATTGTAACAATGTACATGCAATAAAAAGAATACGACATTGAATACAGAGAAAAATCTGCTGGTAAATCACAAAAGTTCTAGACAGTTATGTGCGGAAGTTCTGCTTGATTTCCCACAATTGCCAAACAAATGCGAGCCTTAAAGCCAAACTTGTACAGCACTTTAAGCTTAAGGCTAGCAAATATTACGTTTTTTGTGTGTGTTTTTCTTTTTCGAACCTGCTTAAAATGCAAATCTCTAAGGGCAATTCTTGCAAAGAGGCGTCCTCATCCAAATTAACATTATTTAATCAAACATTTATGCAAAGAAACATGACCCGAACCGGACCCAAAGCGACTCTACACCTGCTACCCCTCACATTAGCAATTTACGATCCAATTGCCATTTTGAGGTGCGAGTCGATGGGTGGTTGGGTGGTTGAGGCTCATCATGATGTGGGCGATGTGTCCGCTCCCAAAAACAAGGGGAGAATCGAAAGAAAAACAAGAAATTAGAGACTTTGACTTGCCGAGAATTAAATACCCTTCAGGATATTTGACAACTTTATATTATAATTGCTATTTTTGCACTTTTCCGCAAAACAAAAGTTTTAAATTGCTGCCAGGATTGGGTTTCATAGAAATCGAAAGAAATACAAGAAATAAGAGACTTTGTTTTTCTGGTACAGAGAATTAAATACCCTTCAAGCCATTTGGCAACTTCAATTTATAATTAGTGTTTTGTTTTGCAGTTTTCCGAAACACGAAAATCTTAAATTGATTTGTTCTTTTTATTTTGAGACATGATTTTGATCGAAATTCAAACTTTTCATTGCTGCAACTTTTTGATATTTATTGATATTTATCTTTCCCAGTGCTGAAAACTTGGTCTTCTTATTTAAGACACTAGCCACGAATAAATAATGAGTTTTATAAAAGTTAAATAGATGCAATTAACAGCATGCTGATATTAGATATTGACGGTATACAATATGCAACTAGTTTCAAACATTATCAAATTTTATACTTAAAACTTTATCAAAACTGAACAAATTTTCAAAGCCATTTTATGCCTGTCGGAGATGTTTTATACTTTAGCTTAAAACATCATTTAAAATTGATATAACTATCTACCTTGTATTTTGTAACATTTTATAAGACAAATTTTGACAAGTTCATAAGAAATTTAGCAAGATAGCTCTAAGCAGGTGAAGCAACATTTTTGCATAGGAATAGCAGACATTCCTCATACACATCTCTCTTATCTCCTTTAATGCTCTACACACTTGACAACAGAATAACAGCAATTACCCCCAGCTAAAGTGTAGGAAAACAAAAGACAACAAAATAAACCATAAAAAAAGTATGCAAGACACAAAACAAATACAAATTCATTCGTCTTGTGTGCCTCAAGGAGATGCAAGCAAGATGTTGCTAGTGGCAACTGATAGTAACTGGCAGCAAGCAAATCCCACCAACATCATTCATTTGCCATGTCCATGGCTCGAAATTAAACGTGATGCGCAAAGGGCGCACATTAATCAATTGCTTATCCTTTGTGCAGCAGCGACTTCTGCACACACACACACCGTACACACACACACACACACCGTACACACACACACACACACCTCAGGTATTTGTGGGCATGCTCCAAATTACTTTGAACACTCACAGCCCAAGAATTTCCTTTATTAAATCGACATGAGACATGGGACACGAGTCGTGGAGTGCGTGGCATGTGGCAAACGCGACGTTTCGCCCCTCCAACGAAAAACACACCAGATGCGTAATGCGTTCGCTCTAACACACGCATCAAACATGAAAATTCCACGCCCATCCCCACTCTTTCCCCCCAGCTCCTCATCTTCGCACTCAGCCCTTAGTTTTGTACCTTGAGCTGAAGCAACCACCGGAGCATGCGGTGCTCCTGTGTCCTGGCCGCATGCGGGCACAACACACACACACACACAATCAGACACAGACACACACACACACACCCCCTGCTACTGTGTGCAGCATCCGGTGTTGTTCTCACACTAGCCACGGCGAAAATGCGGCATATCTTTAATTTTCTTAATATGCGTGAATTCAAACATTTTGTGAAGGTTGCGTTTTTTTTTTATATTGTTTTGTTTGTGTAATTAGAAATGAGAGGCAAGGAAATCGCCAACTGCGTTATGCCGCAAATTTAATACCCTTGTGGCAAACACATTAATCAAATTACTTCATGGTCAGCTACGCGTCGTAGGATTAGAAACTTAAGTTATAAAGCGAAAGAGTATTAAGACTTGTATATAAAATATATGTAGATATTTTATTTATACTTGCAATTTGTTGTATTTAATAATAATAATCAAAATATAGATTTTGAAGTTTGATTTGATGAATTTTGCAAAAATCAGTATCATTAATAAATTGATTTAAGTTGACTGAAATCATGTCTGGTTGAACTTTGCTAACGAAAAGTTAAGATCTATGATTGCATTTAAAATGAAAATATTATGTATCAAATATCAACAAGAATCACAGTGACAAATGTAAGTCAGAAGATGAAGAAAATACTTTTAGGACAAGAATTGACGAATATAGATTGATCTGACTGAATTTAATACTTGCTTAATCTATTCGAATCGAAATCCTTGAATAGGACTCGTTAATAAGATATTAGGATTACTAATAATAAACTTTCTAAATAAATAAATAGTTAGTATATATAGTTATACATATTAATGTATAAAAATTGATTTTTCGATGCATTACGCACTTCTTCACAAAACATTAATACTTTTCGTAAGTGTATATTAAATGAATTCAGAATTTCGTGCTTTTGACAAGCGCTCAGGCATAATTAGCGTGTCGTGTTTAATTGAACGCGGTCGCAAATGCATAGTATATACATACAAATATACATATATATATATATACATATTTATACATTTCACAGCTGTTGCCAGACTAATGAAATCTTGGGCGCTTTTTCCATCGATGTCTAAGCTAACGACTTTGAGTAGCTGCTTCAAGACACGCTTCCTTGGCTCTGACGGAAGTTATCTATCGTTATATATTATGGCTCAAGGGAATAAGCAGCTGTATGTAATTTGACCCAATTTTAATATCCTTACCCTAATTGGCATTAATATTAATAAATCATAAAGGCAAGCTCAACCCACAACCCACAACCCACTGCCAATCAAATGATGCCTTAAGGCACTTTCCGCCACCAACCGCCTCAATTCACTATAATATATTCGAGGCGCCTTGAGCCAAATTTAAGACGTATACTTACTTCATCATGATGGCGCTCTCCACGGAGAACGCATCTGTTGGCAATCCGCAAATATTCCAGAAACGTATCTCAACCGGTTCGCCCAGCACAATGGCCAACTGAAAGTCCGGCGAGCATGTTACTCCATAATCGAGGCACTTTGCCACCCATTTGTGTATTTGCGTTAGTCGAAAATCAATGGTGAACGGTCCCAGATACGCCACAACTCCCGACGAGATCAACACATCCCCTGTGACGCTCTTAAAGCTGGCCTGCAGCATCTTGGCCGTCTCGGACCAACGTGTCCGCTCACCGCCCAAACCAGAGATTAGCTCCTGGGCACGCTGCAGCTTCTTCGTGCACGCTTCATGCTCAGCGAGTAGAACCCTAAAATTAGAAGATATTATATATTTATATATAAATATACATTGGTTGCCCAAAAATAAGAATGCTTTGGTTCATTTTTAAAATGCTAAAACGTGTTTAAAATTATAAAATTATTAATTATTATTAATTATTAAATTTATTTAAAGCGAGAATTGGATATATAATGCTGCCTGCATTATTATACTATTCTAATTTCTGCAAACTTTGACAAATAAATACATTTGCAAGTTGCAAATACTCACCCATATTGTCGCAGCTGTTCGTCCAGAATCTTCTGAATGGCGGCCAGATTGGCTTCGACTCGAGCCAGTTGGGCCAACTTCTCGTTGAGCAGTTTCATGGCCGCATTGTAGTCTGCCTCTGCGGCAGCGAGGGCAATCTTCTTGGGTGCCACAACCTTGGCAACCACATCGTACTTGGACAGGGCAATGACCCAGCGACAGAGTCCTTCGCAGGCCGTCGAAGCCGTCTTAATTTTGTCAGGATCAAAGGCTTCATTGGTGAGAATACGCTGTTGCAGCTTCTTCATCACCTCCGGCGGAATGTTGTCCTTGTCGAAGTTCAGTAAACTGTCCAGGAACTTCATGTCGCTCAGCACACGTTTCGATGGACCCCAATAGTCCTCCACAGTGCCGACACCACTGGGATTTGGCACCTTGTCTGGTTTCATATCCTTCAAAATGCAAACGGCTTCCATGACGATGCGCACGCCAATTGGCGGACTCTTCATGGTCTTGACCACGGCTATGTCCGCCGTTGTTAGCGTATTCAGCGCCGCCAGAGCTGATTCCAAAATGGGCAACGCTTCACCCAGCTTGGCATCGCACTCATCCTTGATCTCCTGGGCAACGGCTGCCTGCACTTTGGCCGCCTGCTCATCCTCTTTGACCAGTTCCCGCTGCTCTGCGGCAACTTTGCTGTCCGCCGTCACCTTGGCCACCTGCTCGGCCACAATTTCGGAGGCCTCCTTCAGCTTCGGCTCCAGCGCCTGCAGCTGCTCCTGCATGACAGCCACCTGCTGCGCAGCAATATCCAGCTGCGAAATGCCAGTCAAATATCGATTACGATTCGTCGTTATGTTGCTACATAGAAAGGTAAAGATTTTGTTAGATTGAGTGTGAATTATAAACTTGAAAATGGGAATTGAAGGAGAAATTTGCAATCCCTTAAAATATATCGTATGTAAACTTGATAAGCATCTCATTGAAGTTGTCCATGTATCATATATATAATATTCATATATGCATTAAATATATAAATAGGTCTTTGTTTGTCATCTGGCAAGTATTCTTAAACTATATTATATTGTCGAGGAATGAATTTTAATACCCACAGATTTATTATATCCTTTTATTTGTTTTATTTTTCTTAAATTATTCACTTTGAATTTTGAATCATATAATTTGTATGATTAATTTTAATTTTAAATTGATTTTAAAACTTTTAATGGTTATAAAACTTGTTTTACATAAATAAGCACAAACGGACCATCAGATGGAAAGACTGGCAATGGACTGACTGGCAGACGGATAAACTGACAGACAGACTAATCATATATTATATATCCTACTTGATCACAACTTCATTATACTCTTTCTAGGTTTTCTAAATTCTAAAATGTTCTCTCTGCGTTTTATACTCACTTTCGCTTCTGGCTAAGCAGTGCCTTGAAGGTCTGTATCAACTCCAGATAGGATGTGGGTGTCACATAGTTATAGCGGTGCAGACGTGTGAAGAACTTTGCGGACAATTCCTGTGTGGATGTGTGGAACTCCATGCACATATCAATGGCTGTCTTCCTCTCCAAAGGAGTCAGTTGCTCGGTGGCCAGGAAACGTGTGGAGACGGCTAGGAGGGCATCCTCCGGCCAGGGCTGGAACCAATCGATCGTACAACAATTGACAATCGAAGGAAATTTGCGAATGCGATTGCGCAGAGCATCGCCAATCGGCGACATGGCCAGCACAATGTGCAGCTGATCCTTGCAAGTCTGGGATGGGGAATGGATATATACATACAAAGAAGTTTAATTAGTACAAACGGGAACAGATTAAAGGGATCAGGGTTAAATTTTGTAGCTCCCACCGTAACAAAGAAGTTAAATAGGGCAACGGGACTGCCATCGGTTTGGACGGACTTGTCGCGTTGCTTGTCGATTTGGGCCATCTTCTCGACGACCTCGATTTTCTCCTCGTTGCTAAACAGATTGGGCACTTCGCCCGAGTTCAACAGATTGTTGATATCCTCCAGAAATGATTCGTCCTTAATCTACAAGTCTCAGGGAACACACACCATTAGCACAAATATTTACCCAACTGATTAAATGTTCACTTCAAATTTTGAGCCAGTCAAAAGTAAAAGAACAGAAAACTAAACAGAAACAGAAAGAGAAACAATTCCCACCTGAACGTCCGTAAAGAGGAATACGCCGTGCATTTCGGATGCACCGATTTTACGTAATATTGTCTTGATATCCTCATGATACTCGTATGGCCCATACAATCGAGTGATTTCCACTTGAAAGAGCTCATAGTCGCATATATGCGAAGCCAGTCGAGTCAAGCTCTGGCGCCCGGAGCCACCGACACCGATGAGCAGAGCATGACTACGTGGCTGCTTTATGATGCGACATATGCGCGATAAATGCTCGATGGCAAAGCGGAAAAGTACCAGATTCATTGGCTTCTTCGACATGTTGTTGTACTCCACCAAATATGATTCGACCACGCTACGCAATTCCTCCACATCTTGGACCTCAACATAGTTTTTGGTATCCGCTTTCGGATTGGTGAAATCACAATAGATCAACTGTCGAAAATCGGACTCCTCCAACTCTTTACCCTTGCCCACAAATCGGCCAAACAGACGCGACGCATCCTGATTGAAACACTCCTGCACGGTGCTGCATAATTTCTGAAATAGCCAACTACGATCCGCATCCTCAACGAGTCGATCCCCATAGACGCGCAACACTTCGTGCACCCACAGGCGACGCATCGAGTTCATGTCCTCGGTTGCCTCGGGCACACTTAGCAGCACACCCTGTATCACACGCGAAAAGTCACGCAAATTGAACAGATAATGCGACTTCGCTGGAGTTGGCAACAGATTCAATTTGGCATCATTGTAGATGCTCAGCGTGGCACTGACGATCTCATCAATGCACGGATCAAACTCCTTCGAGAAACCCCTGTGACGATTAGTGGCATGCAATGGGAAGAAAGATTAACAAGTGGTGATCTAGTCGAGAGTGCTCGACTCACAGATGCCCTGTACCCTTGCCATGCAACTGGGTAACTTTAATTTTTAAATAATATTTATAATAAGAAAAAATAAAAAATAAAATTTTAAAAAAAAAAAATAAAAAATAAAAAAAAAAATAAAAAAAAAAAAAAAAAAAAAAAAAAAAGTCGAAGTAAAACACCTCTTTAGCCACTTTTAATGGTTACAGGGCATAAGTAACAACCCCACATCAGATCTCACAACTCACCTCGCGTCCAAATGCCAGAGCACAATCTTGCCAAAGATCGTGGTCATAATGTCATCGTTGAAGTCATCAATTGAGATGACATTGAAGAAACGCTGAAATCGTGGCGTTACAGTATTACCTGTCGACGGTGGTCCCATGGCGACAATCATCTGCAAATCGATCAGTTTCATCGGCACAATATTCTTGCGATCGTACCACATCATGTGATCGAGCATCATGCGCAGCAATTCGATGGGCGGCTGGGCGCCATAGTTCTCCTTCAATGGCATGGAAACGTCATCGACAAAGATGACAAAGCGTGTATTCAACGGCGGCCCAAAGACACCCTTCCTGCGCTTGTCCAGCTTGGACATGATAATATCCTGCGTCTGGTTCGCCGATGTCTGAGCCGAGAAACTGATCAGCAGCGGCTTATAAAAACTGAGATCCATGCGTGAGAGCATGAAATCAATGACATAGACACTCTTGCCCGTCCCAGTGGGTCCGACGAGCATCAATGGCTTGCCATGGCGCACCAGCAGATCGAGTACGGCTGCAATTCGCACACTCTCATTCGTCTGGATGATGATCTGATTGACGGGCACATCGCGTGGCAGTGGTGGCGCCGCATTCACATCATCCTGCCACGGTTTCCACTTGCCCTTGCCCTCCTTAATGTAGCGATAGTCAAAGACCGAACCGTTCTTGGGTATGGGAAAGATAAATGGCTTCACCAACTGTTCCACATGCAGTTCCTGGGGCACACCATATGCCTCGTATATGCTTTGCGGGAAGTTCTTCTCCATCATCAGTGCACGAAAGATCAAATTGAATTTCTCCCGGCTCTCCGCCGTCAAGGATCCACCCAGTGACCAAATCGCCGAGAACAGGAATATACCCTCGGTCTGGGCACGAAAATCCAAATCGGATATATTCGCCACATATTTCTCATCGCGATAATCATCGATGAAACACTCGAAGAAATTCATCAGACTAACCATCAGGTTCGTATCCGAGGTGGGCGCAATCTCTCGCAGACTCTTGCGAACGATGAACAGGAGCAGCGGACAGAATCGGTTGATCAATGATGAGATGAGATTCTTGCTCACGCTATGGAATGTTGGGGGTAATGTGTTCTTCCAGGAGGCAACCAACGGTTCCCAGCCCAATGAACTCGGTTCCAAATAGATCATGCCACAACGCGAAACCGTTGCCGGTGAGGCAACCTCCAAATCCATTGGTTCAAAGATCAGATTTGTTGTGTTCGAGAGTTGGATAATCTCACCGGACATCAGACACAATTTCTTGTTGTCATCGAGCACAGTGTTCATGTTCTCAATCCAAATGGCATCGACGGGGCCATCGAAGACCAGCCACTTGCGATCCGGTGTCTCGGAGACGGCAAAGATGCGATAATTGACAGCCAAAATGCCATCGCTCCACTCATGCGAAACGGCATCAAACTGTCCATAAAGCTGACCCATTGTTATAGCCTTCGGATTGATAACCGTGTAGATGGCACGATTCTCGGAGCCATCCTTCTTCTCCATGCACTCCAGTGTATCGGCGAGCAAATGATATGTGGTGCTCTTGCCACCAAATGGATACCCGACCAACATCAGGCCATGACGCACTACAATCATCTCATAGAGCTGGGGTACACAGAGAAAAATTACAATTATTTGCACTTGTAATTATAAATAAACGATTTATATTTTTTAAAGGAAGGAAGTAGGACCAAAAAGAAGAGAGATCATCCTCAAGTTTTTACCCACCTGTTGCACCTTCTCCAGTACAAAAGGAGTGCACTGTTTATTCTGCTTCTCGCAGGCCTTTAAGACGCACTCATTGAAGAGGACATAATCGGCCTCGGGTAGCGTAACGCCCGGGAACAGATCGGAGGTGATGCCCTGGAACAATGGTATATCCTGATTGAGGAACTTGGGCAAATTAACATCCTTAATGGAGCGCAGCACTAGAATATCCTCGTTCTCATCACGATAGCGTAGCTTTAATGCACCCGCTGCTTTCAGGACAGATTTGACAGCTCGCATGCCGTAATCATAATGGCATTGGGTACTCAACTGCTCCGAGCACAGACGATAGGTGGCCACAATCTTGATGGACAGCGGCTTGGCCGTCAGGAAGCCATACGAGTAAAGCTCAATTTCCGAAATTAATGCATAGTCCGGCACCATCATAGCCACGGAGCGGAACAGAGCCTGCCGGATGCCAGAAGAGAATTTGATATAATCTCAGCTTAATTAACATGCAGCCTTCAATTAGAATTATTTGAATTATCTTTGCTGAAAGCTTATTGATAAAGCTATACACTGAAATGAATTCTATTTAATGTATTCTATTTAATGAAGAGTAATCATATCATTTAGCTACTTAAAGCACAAGTTAACTTTGCTGTTGAGAATATAGAAGTAAATTGAAAGCTGGCTTAAAGCTTATATTATTATCATTGGATAATATTTGAAAAGGTTTTCCCTTAAAACACACACCAAATCAGAATTAAAGTTTACTTTAAAAGCTTCAGGCTGAAAACCACTTAAGGAAAACTAACTTTACCTTCAGATTGTCGGGCAACTCGGATCGTCCCGCATAACCGGGATTCATGGTAATGAAGACGGCACAAGTGGGATCCAATGTTAGAGTGGTGCCCTCAAAGACCAAAGTGGGCAGACCGGAGTTGATGCCACGCTGTATGGTCATAATCTGTTGGGCGACCACCGACAGCACCTCGAGATCAATGCGATTGAACTCATCGAAGCAGGACCAGGCGCCGCACGAGGCCAGACCCTTGAAGAACTTGCCCAGCGCCAGATAATCGAGACCATCCGAACAATTGAAGACGACACATTGTTTGGCCACCGCCTTGGCCAAATCTTTGGTTGTCTCCGTTTTTCCCGTACCCGCCGGACCCTCGGGAGCACCACCCAAATGCAAATTGAGAGCAGCAAACAGGGTGCGATAGCAACGATCCGTCAGTGGAGTGACCACCAGTCGCGTGGTATTCCCCAGATACTCATAGCCATAGGCCAGCGAGCAGTTGATCATGCGGGTATCCAGTTGGTTTTCCTCCCAGTAATAGCGCAACTGGCACAACCACTGAAAGTCCTGCAATTGCTCCACGCCCTTTTCCACAATCTCAGCGAGCACATCGCGAGCATGGACATCGAGCACGACGAGGGCGCCGAGTGTTATGCGATTCTGGGTATTGAGATCTCCACGCACCAAGTCGACAATTTTCATAATTTGATTCATGCACTTTTGCAGATACTTGGCCAGGCTCTCTTTGGGTGTTTCGCTCAGGAAGCACTCGGTTATCTCCAGCGTCCAGTAGGTCAACGATATGGACTGGACACACTGACCCGGCCAGGTGAGCACCCAAATATTGCGCTGCATCTTGACATAGCTGTAGAACGCCTGGGATATCTTGTGATGTATACTCTTCTTCATGTCGATCTCGAGCTCGAGCAGCCATTTCTCCACCTGACCACGTGCCTTTGCCGTGGATATGACATCGACGAGAACGACCTCTTCCCGTTCGGAGGAACGCATCGCAGTCACCTCCAACTCCTCGGTGAATTTCAGTGTAGCCATGCCCTCGAAACACTTCTTCAAATGCGGCTGTACGCGTGTCGGATCCTTTGTCTCCGATAGTATCTCGAGTAGTTCATCATTGGACAGGAAGAAGAAGCGCGGGAAATATAAACGCTTCTTCTCCAAGTACGCATTGAGTCCCTTCTGAATGATCTCCAGCAGTGTATAAGCCTTCTTCAGCTTCTCGTTCATCTTTTCGATCTGCACAACGGTCATCACACGCGGATCTGCTGCCACCTGCTTCATTAGCTCCTTCCAGATCTGTAAAGAAAGCGATTTGTATAATAAATTTTAAATCAAGCAGCTTTGCAGCTGAGATATAGTCTTCATTTTAATCATATTCAAACAAGAACTACATTTTTTGGTTCAGAAATCTTCAAGAACTTCACTTTGAACTCAATGGCGTACTCAGGTCTAGGCAGGAAGGATTAGCTTCACCCGTAAAGCAACATTATGAACCGTAAAGAATACAATTAATTCTTATAAAATAAATAGACTAGTTTGCAGGAGAAGAGATTGACAGACGAAAAGGTAAACTCAACTTAAAAATATATAAAAATTCCCCACAAAAAATCAGATCTTTCTTTAAATTCCCTCATTTCACTATACAAAATGAGATGAGAATATAATACTATATACAGGGATAGGATATACATTAAGAAAACACCTTATGAATCCCATTATTCCCTTAGATCTGAAATAATCAAATATACTTTTCTATAACAATTCTATCATGTCTCTATACAAAACCAGATAAGAACTATTATTGCCTTAGCAAAACCAGACAACAATGGAATATTCACGAATCAGGTTAAATGCTTAAGGAACACACCTTGTCCACGGCACTGAAGCGACGACCCTCCTCGGGCATTTGTTGCTGAATATCTGGACTGCTGAAGATGGGCTCCAGATACATCCAGGTGGCCTGGACGCGCAGCCATTCATCTAGTATCTCCTGGAGCAACATCAGTTTCGCCTCCCATTTGCTGCAAAAGGACAACAGCAACCAATGAGAATGGGGACATGCACAATCACATGTATGTTTTGTATGTGTGTGTGTGAGTGTGTGTGTGTGTGTGTTTGTGACACTGACAAGTGCTGGAACAACACACGCTTGAGGGAGCTGTCCTACTCACAGTATATCTGCCTCAAATGGTTTGATGTAGGGCGAACTCTTCATTGTCTGCGTCTTGATGATTTGATCGTCGAGCAATATTTGGATGTCATCCACGGCGGACAGCTTAAAGGTACCCGAATCCCTGCGGTAGACATTTCAATTATGTGCAAGCACAAATAAACAAATAAACAATCGTGTTTTAGAAGCGCAATCGCATAAATATCGAATTTGTGGTTTCATTTGAATTCCTTGTTTAAAGTTGAAAACAGTTGTCAATAACAAATTTATACAAGTTGAAACTTATCCTGAAACTATTTACAAATTGTAAAAGCTAAAAAGTTTCACTTATCATTCAAACACATTTGAAAATATTACTTTAACAAATTAAAAATTAACTTCAATCAATATAAAAAAATCAAAAATTGTGGCTTGAATTTAAGCCCTTGTTTAAAGTTGAAAACAATTATGAAAATAAAATGTTAACTTAAATAAATTCAAGTCAATTGTTTTAATGAAGAAATAATTTAAAAACTTCCAATTATATTTAAAGCATATTTTACAGCAAATATAACAAATTAACTTCACTCAATAAAAAATAAATATATTTAAATAAAATAAAAATAAGAAACAAAACTTTGCATTTCAAAGCTGATTAAAACCTTTAACTCAAATGGAAATTAAATTATTCAAATATTTAGAAACAAACCAAGGAATCATATCGAATCCAATATTTTGAAGAGAATATCTGGAATCATACCTGTATGGCGAAATGGTGAACTCAACGCCCTCCCATTCGTTGGCCATTTTGGCCATGGCCTTTTCGAGATTGTTCTCCTTGGTGGCGCTCTCCGAAATGGCCTCAAACTTGGGCACATACTCGTCCAGCTGGTACTCGATGATCTTCTCCAGCGTCAGCTCTGGCGACACCTTAATGGGGAAGCCAATAATCTCGGAGACTTGCTCCCAATGGCGCGCCTTCATGCCAGGATTACCTAGGGTATTAATGATCGGCATATGGCCACGGAAGTTTTCCATTTGCTCCTTGACATCGAGGATTAATTGCATGGTGCTGGGATGATCACCCATTTGCTTCTCCAGCTTTTGGATGACGCGATAAAAGTTGGCCACATCCTGATCGATTTCATCGGGATCAAAGGAGCCAACCTGCGAATACATCCACAGCTCCCACTTGTCGATGAAATCCTGGCCAGCATCAAATAGATTCTTATACGGTTTCAGCTGATCATGCGCCTTCTTCCGCACCGGATACTGTGACAAATCCCAACCGTAGGCAGTCTCCTCCTCATTAATCTGATCGATGGTCTCCATGGCATTGACGAGCCTCTGATCCAAAATGCCGGCACGTTTCTTATACTTGGACAGCTGCTTAATATCGCCCCAAGTATCGTAGAGCTGCACCTGATCGAAATAGTTCTGGAGTTCACGGCGGAACATCTCGATGCGTTTCTTGAGCAGCTCCTGGTACTCGATCACCTTCTCGGCAATGATCACACGATGCTGATCAAAGACGGAGGCCAGTTTCAAGTACCACTGAAATGAGTTGCTGTTGTTCTTGATCTCCAGCGGGGAGTAGAGCGTGTGATCCATTAGCCAAAGAATCTCGCTCATGTTGACCTTGAGGCGTGCCTCCATTTCGGGCACCAGATTCTCCTCGGCATGCACCACATATGCCTTTAGTTCCATCAGCTCGGCCGTATCCTTGGGCACCGTCAACGCCTTCTTCGCAATCGTATCGTATTCCTTGCCCAGCCGTGAGATCCTCGCCTGCTGATCCGTCACCATGCGTGCCAGGAGATCCATTTGCAACTGTCTCGCACACATTTCGAGGTGTGTTATGAACGTATCGCGATGGAATTCATAGAGACCCATCCGGATGACACCCCACACCTCCCTGGCGATGCGATCCTCCTTCTCGCGATACTCGTAAACCATTTCGGTGTACTGTTCGAAGGTGGCATCGCTCTCCATGAAGCGACCACATCGCTCCGAATCCGCACCATTTATCAAATCGATAAACGCATCGAAATCCTGCAATCTCAACTCGGGTCCAATTCGCTGCTCCTCAAGCATATAGCATATCCGATTCTTTGTGTCCGCCACAATGCTATCCGGCACGGTAGGCGTCAGGAACAGTTTCTTCGATATCTTCAGATCCGTGTACAGTTTACCCTCGATCCGTGGCAATTGCTGCACCGAGTGCACAATCGAATCGATGACGCGCAACAATTCACTTTGGATCTTGGCAAAGCCAGGCGTAAACGTTATCGTATCCTCATCAGCCAATATGCAGGAGATCACAAAGCCAGGATTCGAATACTGCCCGGGAAAGTAAAGAACTCAATATAAGTGTAAATTGGAGAACATAATAATAATATTCGAAGATTAGATATCCTTATAAACTAGGCATCCAAATGATGGATATATTTTAAACACGATGGATTTGAAACGGAGGGAGTGACAGAAAAACAAGATTATAACAACTGCTCTATCGATCCTAATCAAGAATATGTGTATATACTTTAAGTGGTCACGGATTTCTCCTTACAAACTTAATGATAACAATCAAGTTGCACGTGCCTATGAGCAGGAGTGCAAGCTTTCAATCGTTGAGTCGCTCAATCAGTCAGTCAATCAGTCAGTCAATTGGTAAGTGCACTTCTATTTGCATTTTTACTTACACCAAAATCGCAAACATAATCGGCAAAGGCTTTCAGGCTGCGTATACAAATGTCCTCGAGCTGTTGGGTCATCAAAGCGGCAACACAGTTGAAAAACCTTTTGACCAACGTCATCCGTCGTATATCCGGCAATTGGCCACGTTTGCTGGCCCGCAACAGAGTCGTGTGTATCTCCCCGTACCACACATCCTCCAACATTGTCTTGCCGGCATCAATATGCGACCCACAAATATACTGCAAGGGTTAGATAAGATCAAAGAGTTACTCTCAGAGTGTGGAACGTTAAAAATCGTTGGAGAAATATATATCAAATAAATTAACTACTAAATGCTATGAAAAATGCTGGACTAATTTAAGCAAAAAACCATTGGCTTTAGTAATTATATTTATATATTCACTTCTATTTATATCTTGATATTATTTGTGCTAGTAATTTATAAGTTACACATTTCTAAAGCTATTTTATTTGTGTCTCAAATTATTTTAAAGGAATATAAGATATCAGTTTAAATAAGTTCTGAAGCTGTCTGAACTCAAGCAGCTTCTCTCTTAAGCTATTTAAAGAGTGCTGAAAGTTGAAATTCATCGCAGAAGTTTAAATCAATTAATTTAACTTAATGTTGCGCAAAATTTCATTTTAGATTAATTCGATTCAAACATAAAATCATTTGCTTACGATAAATATACAACTTTTATAATAAAAATAACTTACGTTCAAAGACTTTTAGCGTTAAGATAAATAAATAAAATAAATATATAAATGGTATTATTATTCATGATTCTCTTCTAGGCTTTACAGCTGGCCTTAAGCACCTTCTCTTTTCAGCTATTTGAATCACCTTTTGATATTTCAACAAATCTTACATATGAAAATCTATTTGATCTTTAAAAAAAAAAGCTTAAGTCAAAATATTTCCTTGGGAAATACTTACGACAAAGTTGAATAATGAGAATGGTTGTTCGACTTTGCTCAGTTCCTCGATGTTGACCAATGTTTTGGAGCTGTACTTCATGCTCCACACTTCGAGAATGCTTGCAACGCTTCGATGGATACAAAATAGGGTTGTCTTCAAACGATTGCGATTCTCATCGTATCTGTGACAAGTTAGAAAGAATTTATGCAAATTATCGGGAAAACGCGAAAAACTTTTCACTTGAGCTACTTTAATGCGGCCCATTAAGCAAATGCATTGAGGCAAAACGCAGAACGCAAATCGCAAATGGCAAATGGTAAATGGTAAATGCCTACGCCCACTAACCGGGCTAACTGGGCTAACTTGGCCTACATAAAATGTTGCTAAATGCTTGCCAGCTATAAATAAGAAGCATCTTTCCCACACACACACACACACACACACTCGCACACAACTTTGTCGATAGACGACCCACTTTAAGAGGCGCACCACAAAAACTTTTAGCATTGCAAGTAGAGGCATTTTAAGTGCCACGCCCATCCGCCCACAGTCAGCCACTCAGTGTCAGCAGCAAGTTCAATTCATTTTTAAGCATATCCTTTTTCCACACAACTTGTGTTTCGAGACACGCCCACAAACGCCTTCAAACCACAAACAAAAAGGACTAAAACCGAATGCGAAATACTCTTTTCTCAATAATAATCACAACGGAAAATATTGAAAAGTGGAAAGAGGGGAAGAAAGCACCTCATATCTGAAAATCATCATCAATTTTAAGTTGTCTTTCGTAAATTGAGATTATAGTTCTGCTCCTTGAGGGCTTCAAATTCGTAATTAATTAAGATTTCCCATTCTGGAAACTTGAATGAAGATTCCCCATTATGTTTAATGAACTCATTATACCCTGAACACATTAAAAATGACAGAAGGGTATATTGCAGCTATGCTGTGGTATGTAACAGATAGAAGCATGAATATAGGCATATATATTCTGGATCAGCATTAAGAGTCTTGTCGATAGAGACTTAAAATTTGGAATATTAATTCCCTTAACAACATTATTTAAATAATATCGATAACTGTCATCGTCTCGGTTCGACTCGATTGGTACAAATCGATTTCCGATAGCAATTACAAAGACAATTCTAAAGATAGTCTTCATATTGATTTATAATATATATAATATAAATTTTGATCTGAAACGCAGATTTTGTCAAATGTGATTTAACATTAAATTATAAATTAAACTATAAAAAGTTTGTTATTAATATGTGAAATGCTATATACCACAAGTATCTCTCTCTCGCTCTCTTGCATTTATAAAACCAATATACCCCTTTTTGTTTGCACTCGTGATCAGTGTATGAAATCTCGCCCCTTTTATCACATTGTATCGCAGCTGTTTTACTGTTGCCCATCAAATGTCAAACCAATACACCGGGGAACTTAACTTTTAGCTACACCACCTCTGCCCCCTACTCCTGCTCCACCACCTGGCAACCCCTGCTGTTTTTCCATTTCCGTTGGAGGAGTTTTGAGCCACATTGTGCACTTGTTGGCAGTTTAAAAGTTTTTTCTTTTTTTTTTTGGCAGACGCAAAGCGATTTCTTGCGTTACTCTCCCAGCTCATAATAATGTCACACCAGATTCCGCACCCACTCCCGCGCCCCTCCCCCACCCCACCTGGATCTACCCTCCCTGAGCTACTCATATATATGTGTATATATATAATGTACATATAATATACAACAGACTTTCATTGTCAAGTTATTTTATAAGTTGTCACGCGCTCTGAATTGAGCTCTTTTATTTCGCACAAAAAGTAAAATATATACAAAGGAGGATCCTTCCTAAAGGAAGCACTATGTGTGTGTGTGTGTGTGTGTGTGTGGGAGTGTGTGTGTGTGTGTATGAGTGTGGGTGTAATTGCATGTCAATTGCATGCCATGAACCAAAGAAATTTTCTATCAAACTTTGATAAGTTCATAACGACTTTTTTTTCAATTAAGAAAGTCTCTTTGTATGAAAACAAACCGTTTTTAATGAGCATAAATTATACAGGAACTTTCTTTTTTGCATTAAGTTTGTTGCTTTTTGTAAATGAAAGTTGCAGTGAAGTTTAATTTAATTTAATAGCTGACGGCTTAAGGTGTTAAGGCGAGCACTTGTTAATGAGCATAAGTTACGGAGGTAATTTCTCTTGTGCATTAGCATTTCGGGTTTTTAAATGAGGAGAGTGAAGTATATTTTAATTTAATAATTGCTGACCTAAAGTTTTTAAATAAGCCGTTTTTAATGAGCATAAATTATTTGGACAATCTCTTTTTTTCTGCATTAAAATTGAATTGGAGAAAAATTTAATTGAATTTAATAACTGCTGACTTAAGATATTCATACAAGCATAAATTACGAAGGTAAATATAATAATTTAGTTAAACAATTTGTGAATTAAAGTTTGAAAAATAAGAGTTTTTTACTTGAATAAATAGTTTAGGTATTTTTGAAAAGATTTAAAGCGAGCAGTTTTTAATCAGCATAAATTATCGAGGTACTTTCTTTTTTCATGAATATTTTTGTTTTTTAAATTGAGAGTAGAAATAAAGTAATTTAATTAAATAATTTGATGGATGGAAGCTTTTAAAGTAATCATCATACATAAAGAGAACTTGAGGGTCTAAAACCAACCGTTTTTAATAAACATAAATAACGAAAATAATTTCATTTTCATTCCCCCAAAACGAGGTATATCTTATAAAATTATCTATTATCTACAACATATCTACGAGGATTGCTCCCACACTTACCGATAGCGCCAATGGTTCATCAACTTATCGATCTCCCTGCGCTCAGCAGTCTTAAATTTAGCTGGACTTCCCTCATGCGTGAGGCGATCGAGGACCGAGTGTCGCAGGACAAAATCGACAACAGCCTTCTTCATGGCAAACACATAATCGGAACGCACTTCGGCTATATTCTCCACAAAGGCCGAATCCCATTTCTTGAGAAGAGCCGGCACAAGATTATCAATTCTGCAGCGAAAGAGTTTAATAATTATTTAATGATTGGAGAGAGGTGCTTAAAGTCAACCCACCGTTGGAGCGTCTTTTTGCTGATGGTGGAGACGTGAATGGTGTCGATTCCATGCTTAATGTAATAATAATAGCGTAGCACTTCCCGTTCGCCCTGATCGGGAAATGGTTCACCCTCCATTCGGTGCAGCGTCGGATCCGGATCCTCATCCATGTGCAGAATCAACTCGACAAGTTTGCTACGAAAATTCTCGCGCTCTTCTCGCATTATCATATAATTGGATTTGCCCTTGTGCTCGCCATCCGAGCGCTTGTCGTTGGATCGTCGATGCGAACGCTGGCTCTTCGAGCAAGACATACTCTCGGGCAGATCGGAGAGGGTTTGGCCATCGAACAGATGACTTGCACATTCGGGCATATTGAGTTCGTACCACAAACGACGCGATTTATAATCGGAATTCGCCTTCGATTGCAGTATGCTTTGCAGCACATCGGGCTTGGGTCGGGTGTAAAGCATCTTCGATTTGGAACAGATACGTCGTGCCCCGCAAACCGATGTAAAACTGGATATTTTCTTATTCGGATTATGTTTGTCCATTTCGCTGGGTTTTCAAATACCGCGCGCAACGTTCGGCGAGGTGGCAACGCTGCTCGCATATATATCGAAAGAATACAAATTATTTACAGTGACGCTTTCGATTCATCGATACGTGTGTGTGTGTTGTGTGTCAACTCGATAGAAGTGTAAATATGAACTAAAAAATACCAAAATTATGTGAAATATATAATTTATAAATATTGCACAAGCAATCAAAAGATTAAGAAACTTACTTTAATTAGTTAATGTTTTAATTACGCGCCGCAATCGCGTTAATTTGTTAATTATTTGATAGACAGAGCCGGTGTTTTGAGCATGACGACGCGTTGAAAACAAATGCAAAGCACAACGAAATTGATTTAACAAAATAACAAAAAGTCAATTGTTGCCACTGGCAGCAGGCTGAGAGCAACAAGTTAAATATTCCATAGCAACCCCAACTGGCTAACTGGAAATTTACCCAAAAAAAAAGAAACAAAATTTTAATATAAAAGAATGTTGCTGCAAAAGTTCTGTCGGCGCACGTTGCACACCACGCGGCAATTGTGCAACAGCCTCGAGAAGAGCGCTTTGTCCACGCTCCGCAAAAAGACCGGCTACACTTTTGCCAACTGTAAAAAGGCGCTTGAATTGCATAACAACGATGTCAATCAGGTGAGTGGGTGACGAGAGAGAGAAAGGGAGAGTGCATGTACTCAACTAATATTCATCTGCTATGCTTCCAGGCAGAGAAATGGCTGCATGAACAGGCGCAATCGTTGGGCTGGTCAAAGGCCACCAAGCTCTCGGATCGTGTCACAACACAGGGCCTCGTCGGCGTGCTCGTGAGCGGCAATCGTGGCGCTATGGTGGAACTTAATTGTGAAACGGATTTTGTGGCACGCAATGAGACATTCAAGCGGTTTGTGGATCATGTCTCACGCATTGTGCTCCACTACACAGACCTAACGGAGTTCGACGGCGATTTGTGGAAGGTAAGTTGGTAGATGTTTGAGGGTGGTTTCAAGGAACCTCAAACTGTAACCAGTGAGAGTAACTTTATGAGTATTGAGTATGTGTTAGTATTAGTAGTTGTTAATCTTTCAAAATAATATATTTTTATACAATATGTAATTACTTAGCTGTAATAACAGCAGCTGCTTGTGTACGGGTGTAGTGGCAATCAAACTGTAACCATAAATCAGCTGTATTAACAAGCATATGCATCCAGTGATACTCAAAGTGTAACTAGAAAGCAGTGACTAAAGATAATTGATTTATATTTAATTTGAATATATATTTAGGCTTTGAGCATTATTTGAGACTATTAGTATTTAAAAATTATATATTTTTATAAGATATTTTCGAAATCTGATAAACTTACAACTCATGTGAAATACATATTTTTGAATTGATCTATTAATTATAGTTATAGTTAGTTATCGACATTTAAAACATATAGTGACTCTCAAACTACGGTTGTAAGGAATTAAAGCTATCAAGTTTATTTGGAGAAGTAATTGATAACACAAGTGGTTTTACAACTGTAACGGATTTTGAATTTCAAATGCATTTTTAATTAGCTGTAAAGGAAAATCAGATTTACAGACTGATTAGCAAACTAGAAAACCCAGAGAAACAAAAGCAACCAAAATTCATATTCTTTTTCATTTTTACAATATATTCTGCAATTTATTAAAATCAATTACATTTTGTTTTTCAGCTTGGTTTCGAATCGGAGGCTCTTAGAAATCTGGAGACGCCACAGGGCGGCTCATTGGCCGATCATCTGGCGCTGTTGATTGGCGCCGTTGGTGAAAATGCGAGCATTCGCCGTGCGCTCTGCTTCAAGGTGAACAATGATCTGCGCCTCGCTGGCTATGCACATCCTGCGCCGACAAATGTCGGCACCACACAGGACATAACCCAGGTGGGCAAATACGGAGCAATTGTCGCCTATCGCTCCCAGCTGGATGTCGACGATCCCGAATTGCAAAAGGGCATTTGCCAGCAAATTGTGGGCATGAAACCGCTTAAGGTGGGTGAATACGATAAGGATACGCCGGCGGAGAATAAGGACGATGAGACGTGTCTCATCCATCAGGAGTATCTGCTGGATGCGGACAAGACGGTGGGCGAGGTGCTCAAGGAGCACCGGGTCAACATCATCGACTATCACCGCTTCGAGTGCGGCGAACAAACGCAACAACATCTCAAAGAAATTCTGCAAGCCCAGCAACAGAACAGCAATTAAAAATAAAAATACAACTATTATTAAAATAATAGCAAAATAATATTAATATTAATAGCCTGACCTTCTCTATTGACGCTACCAAATCTGTTGTATAAACAAAAAGAAATTCGATAGATTAAAAAAAAATGTGAACAAAAAATAATTCTCGAGTGTATTTTTTAAAGAGCATGACGCATGCCCCATGTTGAGGGTAGAACGACGAATGCGGGAAGCACGCTTGAGCGCCTCTCGCTGCTGCCACTGCTGCTGCTGGCTAAAAGCCAAAAAAAAATGGTTTGCTTATGAATCAAGTTTTGTTCTCTGCTCGCCGGTTAAATTACCCGCATGTCATGATAAGTTCCACTTGCCCCCCACCTCGACGGCAAATGAGATATGCGGAAACACACACAGGTGGTTAATGTAACCCCTCCATTTTGCTACAGGGTTAATAAAGCGTAGAAAGTACTCTGTTTTTTATTGTGTAGAATAAGCTCCCCCTTCGAGCGTGCTGCATTTGACAGCTCCTAAAACTACAACAATGCGACACTTCAGTTTTAGTTTCGGTTTTTTTTTTAGTGTATAAAATAAATATATATGTACTTTTAATGTAAGAAATTGTTGTGTGAGATTTTGTGATTAACTGGTGACCTACTAGATTTAGTGATTAGTTGCCTCCACTAATTATTATTAATGGCAATGCGACTTTTCAGTCAAATTTATTTTTATAGTGTATAATGATATATGTTTGTAATGTAGAAAATTATCAATACCATAATTTTGGTAATTAATTAATAATATAATTTTGTGATGTAATAAATGATTGAACTGATTTTGTAAATAATTAGCTGCCCCACAATATATATTTATATATTGTAATTTTTATTACAAATGAGAATCTTATTTTTTGGTGTTTCCAGTAAGTCTATGTTTTAAATAAGTTACCAACACTGGCATAACAAACTGTCAAAGACAAAATGCAATCATTTGTCAAACTTGACAAACTGACAATATTATAAAAAATAATTGTAAAAAGAGAGAGCAAAATGGAATTTACGGATTTGGAGACATTTCGTTCCAAGTATAGCGATTTAACGGTAACCGCCGTTCCAGCCAAGCGACAGAAGTTGGATGCGCAGCCAGAGAACTTGGATGCGGCCAAACATGTCGAAAAATCGCCAACGGCGCTTGTGGAAATTATTCCCATCATAGCCTCAAACGCTGCTGCTTCCACGTTCCAGCAGAGCAGCAAACGAATTACCAAACAGGAACAACAACAGCTGCAGTTCCAGCAGCAGCAGCAACTGCAGCAAGCAGAGGATGATGTGGCCTATTCCAATGAGTATCGGCAGGTGTTGGCCAAACTGGAGTATACCAAATATGCTCAGGCTCAACTCCAGCTGATGTCTGCTTCCAATGGCATTGCTGGAAATAGTTATGGTAAAAAAAGTTAAAAAGTGACTAAATTATTACAATTACCGTAATTTCACCTTTAATGTGGATGTGTAAACACTTTTTATCCCACTTTTTCACAGATTCCAATGACATTGGTGGAAACAGTTATGGTAAGCAATATAAAAATCGACTGAAGACTTAAAGAAAGTTAAAGAGACAACGCCCTCTCTCATTGACAATATTGGTCAAAAAATGACTAAATAATTACAATTAGCATAACTCCAACTATTAAAACCAAACATTTGACTTACACATGGATGTGTAAGCAATGTTTCTTTCACTCCTCACACAGATTCCAACGGCACTTCCAATATTGTGGATGTGTACGACAACCTGTTGAGTGTCATCGCTGAAATGCAGAGCTGCTTGGGACCCACAGCGATGGGTTTGCGAGCGCCAAAGGAACGTCTCTTGCGTGACATCGGCCATGCTCGTGTCCTTGTGCGTGAGTGTATATTGATGCTAATGCACAATCAGTGAAGAAGTGACGTCACTCAGCAGCCAGTGACGTGACGTGTTAATTGCTCTAATTCGTGCCGATGAAGCTTTTGTTTTAAGTGTACCCCAATAAAAGAACAACAATAAACAACCACAAAAGCGTGAACTTCCAAGAACCTACATGCACACACCTAAACACATATCTATACACACAATAGGTAAATTTACTCACTCACACATGCATATGTATGTACTTTTTTGGTATGGTGTTCAAAAAGGGTCACAAAACTGAGCGACGCCGACGTCGACTGCGGCAGCGACTGCGACGCATGTTTTGACATGCGACCGAGCCTCGCTTCAATTGAAGTCCAAATGCCGTTGGATATTCAGTTGTAAGCCGACTTTTCACGGGTTAAGCCAACTGCGATCGCACACGCATCGCCAATTGTTAAAACTTGGATTGGGGCTGCTTCCGTTCACAATTCGGGTTAATTTGTTTGGAAAGTGCGCAATCGCTGTCGAGGTTTTTATTTCCGCTGCACAATTTTCGCAACATATTATGAGAGTTACGCAAAAAAGAAAAGAAATAGAAATAAATAAACAGACGTTAATTATGTGTGCTTGCTGAGCTCTTCACTCGCATGCCTCTCTCTCTCTCTCGCTCCACCTATAGCGCATGTAACGGTTAATTTGCGAAAACAGCAAAAGGCGAATTAGGAAAGCAGAGCGGGAAAACAGCGTTGTTGGTGACAGCTGCAAAAAAACATAGCGAAGTGCGAAAAAGATTAAAATTGTTTAATTTGTTGATATTGCTGTAATTGGGGAGTGGCATTTGCAACTAACAACAAAACAACAACAGCTGCTGAAATAAGCGAAGCCAGCTGCAAAGTGTCGCTTGCAGTTTTTCTTCATTTTGCTTTGTGCTTTGCATTTTGCATGACTGCAAAAACAACACCAACATAAAACAGCAACAACAAATTAGTGTACAAAATGCCGCCGTTTAATTTCATTAAGCAGGTTAGTGTGAAAATAAGCATCCATTTATATAATACATGTCTTAATGACTATATTATTGTGCAAATGCACAACATGAATGCAAGTGAAAATTGAATAAATAATTTTGTATAATAATTGATATGCTTTGGAAAAACAACTATTTTTTGGGGATTATATCATTTTTCAATAATTAATCTGCCTATTTACATATGTAAACATGAATGTGTGCATAAATAATTATGTATGATAATTAAAATCGTTTTGCGAAAATACAAATTTAGTGGCGATCTGGCAGCAGATCATATCATACAACAACTAATCTGCCTATCAAATTGAATAATTGAATAACTAATTGTGTATTATATTTATTTGCTTCGGAAAAACTACAATTTTTTTCGGCGATCAGTTGCATTATTCCATAACTAATCTGCCTATCAAATTGAACTGAGTTAATATTTACATATATATGTAAACATGAATGCAAGTGTGTACATAAATAATTATGTACAATATTTAATTCGCTTTGAAGAAACTTAGTCGATCTGGCAGCATATCCCTAAAAGTTGAAATGTTTTTTCAATATACAAACAGACTTTGAATATATTTTGTCATACAAATGAAACTCTATAAAAATACATTCATTATAAAGCACACAGTAAAACGAATTTACAGAAAGAGTGAATTATAAAACGACTTGCACATAAAAATACATACATATGTACTTACATGCATACATGCATACATATATTTAGACTATGTATATGTTTATGTATTTCGTGCATTCTTTTTTAGAAGGAAGGCGTGTGTAGAAATTGTGTTTTATACGGATCACGACTTCTATTTCCGTTAATACGCTCTCAGTCACGAAGTGCGTTTCCAGCTGTAGCCCAGTTGATATTTGTATCAAGCTTGTCTCAACTAACTCTGATATTTAATCAACTATTATTCTATTATTTTTAATTGCCTGCGTCATCTTTGATATCAATTATTATCGACTTGTTTTTCGTCAAGAGAAGATAGAATCATATTAATGTTTTTTACTACCGTGAGTCATCTTTGATAAAACTAAAAATCTAATTTTGGCAACGCAAGACAAAATCAAATTGATTTCGTTAGGCAAACTTTTTGAGGAGCATTGTTTTAAGTAGTATGTACATATTTAACGAGGATACGATACGAATTAAATAAATATAAATATTTTAAAGTCTGATATCTTGCGGCCATAGAATATGTATTTGCTATAAGATTTCCACATTATTTATTTATGCATTTCAATAAATTGATTATTAGAATCGGTAACGTTTTAGATGTATTTCCAGATTTTCCCACACTATTTTCACCCCAGAGAAACTAAACCAATGCATAGCCTAGATATTTGCACTCGTCTTTCTTCCACTTTGCCCCAACATGAAGCATGAAAAAAGATGCCGCAACACAATCTGTTCAAGCCATGAATCTGCTTTGTAGATGAAGTATCGATAATTAAACAGTTTGCTTGCTCAGTTAATTAAAATATGACATTGCTACCGTTATTCGATGCTCTTCTTTTTATGTTTGGTAGCAGATAGTAAACATATCAACTGCTCTGCATATTATCAACAAAGCGACAGACGTGTCTAATTGGCAAACACAAAAGCGACACTCTTCCAGCAAATGAATGGAAATGAAATCAAACGCCAACCAATTTGAATACAAAAATAGATTTAACTGGAAAACACAACACAACACACACAAAAACACACACAAAACACAAACACAGCTGGAAACACAACGGAGACGCGGCTTTTGTAATTAAGCGTGTCTGCTGCTGTTGCTGCTTCTTCTAGATGCGCCGCCAGAGATAGCTTCCGGTGATTAAGCTGAAGATGAAGATGAAGCAGAGAAAGAACCAAAGAACAGGAGAGCGAGAAAGAGAGAGAGAAGAGGTTAAATATAGGTGGGAATAATTTCCAATGGTCAAAGCTTTCTAGTACAAACGAATAATTTTTGGTTTATGTTTTTTTTTTGTCTCACAATGCAAATGGAGATTGTTTTCGGAGGCTAGCCGCAATGGGATCATATTTCTGGGCCGGACCAAGTCAGGGCTTAATGAATGAGCCAAGACCATTAAAGCCACATTTTGTTTAATTTGGAGGTGGCTTTTATTTTTTTCTTTTCGTTTTTTTGGGCCGTGTGATAATTAAGATGAATGACCCTCCCAGAGGAGAACGGTCTGGAAGTATATTAGAAAGTTATTGCACCATAACATTTAGACACTAAGTACACTCGCCAAAAATGTGCAGACCAAGTGAATTGTGTTTAACAAATGAATGTATTTTAGTATCAGTAGCAAAGCATGAGAAACATTTTTAAATACCTCTCTAATTTTAAGAAATTTATTACTCAATTGTATTTCTTTATTTTTTTAGAGTGTAGTTCGAGTTTCGCTTGAGATGAAGGGAGGCTTTATCTTTGACTATGCGCGCCCATATATTTGCATTTTTCTTATTTATCTATTTTTTCGACTTGGCCAGGTTAATTGCATGTTAAATAACTGTTAAATAACGGTTAGCAGCTAACATCTGCAGCTGTCGGCGTCGGTATTGTTGTTATTGTTGTGTTTATGGTTCAACCGAAGCACAATTGTTGTTCAACTTCTTGTGCAATTGTCTGCCGCCTCCCTACCTCCTGCCCACCTGCCCTCCTGCTTAGCTTTCTTTTTAGCTGGGGCACCCACTGTAATAATGCTCAAATTATTTTGAACTTTGGCGAGACGAGACGAGACGAGCACCCACATCCAATTCCACAACTCCAACTCCAATCTGTAGACGTGTTTCTTTTTCGGCGTGGGAAGACAGGCAGCCCCAGCCCATGGTCTTAGGGTCTGACTTCATACCCTTTGCAGAGGGCATTATAATTGTTTAGTGAGGTTTTTTGACCTCATATAAATTACTGATCAGCATCCATAAAAGAGTCGATATATAAATTACTGATCAGCATCCATAAAAGAGTCGATATATAAATGAATATGAACATGAATACCAGTAATATATACAGATATATATATATATATTATATATATTTGGTACAGCCATTGTATATTTTGGAGTTGGCCAAATCGGTTAGGTAAAATCAGCCAAAAGATGAGTTCTTGTTTGCAAAACTCTTTTGTTAATCAGGTTATCCGTATCAAATCACACATTTGCAAAATATGATCGATCTTATATGCACTATATATATATGTGCTTCTTATATTTTGACAAAAAATCATTGACATCGGACTATCCTATATCATATATTTCCCATAATAATAACAATAATCGGTCGAAAATTAGTTTTTCCACAAATAACTTTTTTGCTTAACAAGTTTTCCCCAACATAAAAATTCATTATGTATGTGATTTATTATGTTCCTAAGAACTGGCCATAAATTTTGTAAAATCGGACTACTATCTCCATTACCATGTCCAACATTGGTCCATTTTTGTAATTTATAGCAAAAGGAAAAGTTGACTCCAATTTGCAAGTGTATCTTATCTTTGGTGTGTCTTTCTTCCTTATTTCGTTTCTTTTCTTTTGTCAGCTGTTTGCTGTTTTCGTTACGCTTCCCAAATTGCGACTCACAGTGGGCTATCAATATAAATAACGGTGGCCATCGAATCGAGTGAAATGCCGCATTGCTTTCGATACAAATCAATTCACATCAAGCCTATTAAATTCGTCGCATCTTTCGAAATCAATTTTCTTTCACCTTTTGTTTGCTTTATCTAAGGCTAATTAATAATTATATGTTTAAGAAAAACTGCATTTCGTGAATACCTTTTAAAGTCGTTGCTTTTGCATTGCAACGAATTTGATATAAACTTACTTTAAGAAAAAAATGGCAGAAACGTTTTATTAATGAAAATTCGGGGAAGTAAGTTTGAAAAGAGTGAGTTTATAATCTTGGGGTTAAGTATTTTCATCCTTTCTTTTTCGAGATTTAATATCTCTTATTGGACTCACATGGCATTCAATTAAATAGAAAGTTTCACATCTGACTTATTAATCGTTTTGATCAATGATTCCTTGTATTAAATTTTGACATGTTCAACGCCTCATTGTTCACTTAATCCTAATCACAGAGCTCATTTATAATTGAGCCATATATATATATATATATACATACATTTTGTAGGTGACTGGTATTAATTATCCAGAGTAGAATACAAAGTATATTTGTGTTTCTATATTATCTCTACATTTGATCAATGATATATATTGTATTCCAATTGGAGGGATATATATATATATATGTGTATTTTATAAATGGGTGCATCATATATTGACAACAATTGTGGCTTTTTTGCTATGAAACTTTTAATGCTACCAAAAACGGATGTACACAACAAATAACTCAGTTAATTCAGCAGACACTGGTTAGAAAATACTCTTACAAAATCATTAATCATTACAATTCAAAACAAAGTCTTCATTTCCATTTGTGACTGCTTGACTTGGTCTGATCTTGGTCTGGACTTGATCTGATCTTGGTCTGGACTTGATCCGATCTTGGTCTGGACTTGATCTGGTCTTGTCATGTCTGTATATAATTAATTATGGCAATTAACGTTGGTCGCCAGAGAGAACGTTCTTAACGAATGACTGTTGAAGAGAAAGGGGGAATCGCAGCATATTTGCCATAGTTTATAGCCAAGAAGCAGAGAAGAGCTAGGTTGAAAAAAAGCTAGTAAATCGGCACAGTTTAGCTAAAAGCTAGCGGTGTCAAAAGCAGATGTGGAATACAACAAATCAAAGCGGTAAATTTGTTGCTGCTCCTCTTTCTTCAATACGTTGTTGCTGCTGCTGGTGTTGCAAGTGTGGTAAAAATGCATTTAATGCCATGACATTGTTTAAACTTTACGTAAATGTCGTTAATGGTTGTTGTTTGTGTTGTCTTCAAGTCGAGTCTGAGACCGAAACTAAAAAAGCAAACAATAACATTGTTGCATTTGTTTGTTGTATGTTGTTTTTTTTTTCTTGTGTTTCTCATTTTTCGGTTTGAAAAGGAAAAGTCAATTGTATTGTGTGTGTAATTATCATAAATTGTAAATTTACATTTTTCATCACAATATTTTTGTTGGATTTTTCATGCTAAAAGTCGCACATTTTTCCAATGGCAGAAAATGCTTTGCATTTTACAATTTGCTTTCATTTTTATTTTTCATTTATTTTTTTTGTTGATTTGTTGCCAGTCGGTTGACGCCTCAACCTCAATGGTTGATTGAACTTGGTCGACAGTTGGAGTTTTAGTTTGGAGTCTGCTTTGGTAATATGTTGTAAGCAAAAACCCCAGACTGAAAGTCTGAAGTGAGGGCGAAGGTGGGGAGGATTGTTTGTTTTGAAAGGCAGTTACAGAGTTACAGATACTTGACTACTTAGTTCAAGCCCAAGGCGCACTCGTTAAACCCATTACCATTAGCTTCTTATACGCTTTACACAGACACACTCACTTGCACAACTGCCTATTAAAATGCTATTTAACGAAAAGCGATTACAAACATTTAAGCTTAACGAAAAAAAATACATCAAAATTGTTAAACAAATCATAAACAAAAGTTCGCTAACATTTCAACTGCTTTCCACAATTGAGATTAGGTGAAAGATGGCAAGAAGAAGACAAAGACTAGCTTATGGCAATTGTTGTTGCCTCACGTTGCCCGTTAATGATTGTGGCAAATGAATGTCTGCCACAACTCTTGACTCCTTATGCATAGATCATAGGAGTGAAATGCCCAGCGAAGCAAAACAATTGACAAACCAATGGAAACCTGATAGATGCATCTTATGCTTAACTAACTCTTCCTCCATCCCCCCATCCCTCCCTGCCTCCTCGCCATGCCATGCCTGATTGCATATGGAAAATGTCAATACAGCAAGTGTGGCTAATACGATTGTTAAACAAGTCGTTTGAGCCTAAAGCAACTTGCTGTTGTACCCTTTTTCAATTATTAGTCTTTATTTACTACTTTTCTGTAAATATATCTTGCTTAAAATCTATAAATCTACATTCAGTCTATCGATCAATAGCTTTATCATAAAATATGTGAATCCACTTTACATTATATTCTTCAATTTAACAAATATTAGAGATTATTATTAAACCCTTAAAATAATCAACTTTTGTTTTCAGAATCTATAAATTATGTTTTATGCAAGTTCCTTGAATAAATGACAAAGATACGAAAAATACCAAGTAATATTTTAATTGTCTGCTAAGATGAAACTAATTTTCTTAACCAAAACGTATATTCATATTGAATTTTAAATTAACAGCTGTGTTTTATGTTCAAAACATTTTGAAGGTAGCTTAACAACAGGTTAACAATTTTAAAGTAGTCTTTAGATACGCAAAATCGCAACTCATTATTTTTCAATTTAACAATCTATCTAATAATCGAATTATATATTTATTGTATTAATAATATAGCTGAAGGCCAAAGCCTGGCTAAAAAAACCCCCTTAAGCTAGATTGTTTAGTGTATATACATGTTACATTTTCAAATGCTTTTTAGTACTGTCTAAAGCTCAACCTTAATTTTTGGTTTACTTTTTTGACTTTTACTTTTTAGAAGAGATTAAAAAGACTGCCGCTCAGGAGACAAGAGCCACCAGCAAGCGCAAATACCCTTCAAAAGGGAGCACAGTCAATTGGCTAAACGACTTATAGGGTAATGACAGAATATCTACAAGTATCCCTTTTCTAGGCCTGTTTAAGTACATATGTATTTCACATGTTGCACATGTTTTTGATGTGAGCTGTTGCCATTTGGCCAAGACTGCATACAACATATGCCGCCTCTCACTGAAAAACCGCAAGAAGAAAACTGAACGCTGCGCTTTCTGCTTTTCTTCACTTTGCTCGTAGCACAAAAAAAAAAACAAGCCAAGACACATAACTGATAATTTCATTCATGTTCCACTCGACTCGGAGTCGAAGTTGGATTTGGAGTCGAAGTCGAAGTCGGCTTCTCGTCGTCGTCGTAGTCGTCGTCGTTGTTTGTTGTTGTTATTGTTGATGTTGTGTAGACAAAGTCGGGTCTCTTGTGAGTCACAAGCGTAGCGCTTCCCAGTTTGTTGGCCAAGTGTGTTGGCTCTTTGTCTCTTTGGCCATAAACTTGGTCGCATCGCATTTGCGTCGACCAGTCTGCATTTGGCTTTCTGGCAACAAAGACGTCGCGAGGCGCCAGGCTTGTTACCAAAACTCTACTTCTCGACTCGATTCTCCTCTCTCTCTCTCATCTCTCTCGCGGTCTCAGTGTGTGTTAACTTGGCTAAAAGGCCACAATTGCGATTTGCACAATCTGTGAGGCATTTGCCTCCTAATCATCAACCTGACTTGACTTTAATTCACTTTTACTTTGTTTTACTTTTCAATTGAATTTCCAAAAACAAAAAAATACAAGAAAATACACAACAATCCACAACACTTCACAAAACAACAAAAATAAACGTTCTAAAAATTGTGAAGTTATGAACGCGCTAAAATAGTGTTTTGAATATATATAAATATATATCTATAAATATATATATGAATATCGTTTCGTGATTTTGGGGCCAAAAAGGATTTTCACTTTTAGAGGAGTCGCTGCGTCGACCGGCACATGGAAAACTAGTTCAAGGCTGCCTGCCTCAACCTGTTGCGGTGCTCTTTAAACCGAACCGATCTACAAATCTATCTGTCAACAGACGCTACAATTGTTGCTGCCACAACTGTAAAAATGGAGCTAACGTTGTCGCCAAAAGAAACGGTATTTACCTGGTTTTTCATTATGCATACTTATCGCCACAAAGTGTCTCCATCTCTCTCTAAATAACTCTTTGTCTTTATGTCTTTCTATCCAACAAATTGATTTTGTTGTGTTTCTTGCACTAATCACAAGTTGACATTTATTATTCAGCATCTACTGCGATTTATGAGTATTGTTATTGCACTCACTGCAAATTAGAATCATGTTCATAATTTTTGTCTGTTTAGACAGCATTTAGCAAACAATATTATTTATTGCAGAGATTCAATTAGTTAATTTACTTTATTTGATTTTTAAATTGCTTTGCCGTAAAGGTTATATTACTAGTTTATTTCCATAAACTTGCTTACAGCTTAACGAGTGCTCAAAGCACTCGAATTATATACTTTAAAGATTTCATAATCATCTGTGCATAAGTATATTTATAATAGTATGAAACACAATTTAATAAATATTTATTTGATATATATATCTTTCCAATCGGATATATGATCAACTACACAAATTGTATAAAGATCGTTGGGAAAATATGGAAGATAAATCTTATATTAATATTAAATAAATTATCCAAAAGTAAAAACAGACATTTTCTGTTCTATGATAAGTAAAGTTTTGTGTTCTCCTAGTCGAGCTCTCTCGACTAGAGTATTCATATTTGTTTTTATTAATGTTTTGCGACATTCTTTTTCCATTAAATACCCTCAAAACTGAGTCATTATATTTCGTGTTATCCTTATGCCTATTTAATTTCGTGTTTATTCATGTGCTTAGATTTTTTATTCATTTTTTTTTTTTTAATTTCACAAATGTTTTCTACTCGGTTTTTCCTAATTGCACTTGACAGAATTTTGCGTGCGTTTCGTGCTAGGAGCTCATTAAAAGGACCTTATAAATGGACTTAGACTAGATACGCATTTTTTGACAGACATGAAATAAGTGCCAACCAAATTAAGCCAGACAACAAAGGAGAGGGCTCAAGCGACTCGAACTGGATAGTTATCAAAAAACTGACAGACAAGATTTGTCCCCAAAATAATATGTAATTTGGTTAATGTGTACAGTTTATGTCAACAATAATAATACTGGATTATTGTTGTTGGTCACAAAATTGCTCAACGACTTTTGCTTTGAAATTTTAACTGTACAAAAAATTGTGGTTTTTGCCACTTGGCTAGAACATTTCTATGGGCAAAATTAACGCTAATTGCTCGAAATAAGAGGAGAAAAACCAACAGAGAAGCGAAAACAAAAGCTGTGAAAGTTTGAACAACATCTTGAAATCTTCATCTAGCGTTTAGGAGCACCTCTCCAATGTGCCAGTTTTTTATTTATTTTTTTAGATTATTTTTAATGGCCGTGACAAATGTTGTTTGAGTTTGTTGTCAATCGTTGTGTCAGCCGCCATCAGTTTTTATCAGAGCGACTTCCCAATTAAATAAAAGCAATGCAGACCAATTCAAGTAATGTTTTTACAATGCTGTTTGTGCAGACAATAATTAAAATGATTTGATGTTAAAAAGAAGACAATTTCATTTACAATTATGTCGTTTGGGGATCTGCTCGATGGCAGCACCCAACAATTCAACTTCAATCTCAGAGTCAGTGTAGCATGAACTCGTTTTTGGTCACTGCACAAGAGTACAAAAGAAAAATGCCGTATGGAAAATGTGTTTATACAATATAATTATTATGTTGCCAAAACAAAAAACAGACACGTTTATTAATTAAGCAACAAGCCGATATAATCACCACAAGATAAAGATCTGTTTTCAGCTAATGCAATTCATTTCTCATGTTTGGTTAGAAGAAGCCTCCAAGCTGCTCCTCCTCCGATCTTTAATCATCCATTGTATATAACGGTAATCGACCACTTTCCACACAAGTCGCAAAGAGCGGCGAGCGTATTCCATAAATAAATAAGAAAATTAATGTTCAATAAAAAACCAAACACAAACTGGCTGCTGGCTGCCTTTCTGCCTTTCAGCCTGCCCGCCGGCTGCCCGTCACACGTCTGGTACAGTTTTCACTATCATTTGCTGTCGCCGCGCACTTGCAATCGGGAAAAGTCAAATGCAGAGCGTTAAAATACGAGTTTTTGGTTTGGGTTTTTTGGCTTTTGGTTTCGGGATGGTGACAAGCACATCCTTTGGCAGCTGTGTGCCTGCCAGCAACGTCAAAAGACAAAAGACCTCCAACAAATTTAGTGGACTGACAATATATGTCGCATGCTCGAAATATACAACTGTGAAACCATTTGAAAGGTGTTTTGTTCGCCTTGAACATGTTGTTTTCCATTGCTGCTGCTGCTGCGCCGACAGGCAGGCGTCATTAATAACTACTGTTTGTTAACTGCTGGAAAATGTAGCTTCGAAAGTGGATTTATCAATTGAATGTGATTGGAGTTGAGGAGGCGGCGTACAAATTAAGAAGGTTTTACTACTGTATTATTCGATATTTATTTCGATTTTCTAGCAAGAGAAAGAGGTACGGAGAGAATTTCAATAATGGGAGGCTTATTTCTATAAACACTTTAAAGAAATATTACAATTACTGATAGAGCTTTGCACAATTTGAAGAACATTTTGGTTAACGAAATCTGCGTTTCTCATCTGATTAATATTGTCAGGATATAATATATATCAATTGGTAGACTATTGCTTTAAAAATTGTGGTTTTTATTGCTGTAGGAAATATATTCTATAATCTATATTCACAGATTCATCGTTTATTTTTATAATCATACATAACTTTAATCTCTAGCTAATTTGAAAATCTCAATCTCAAAAATGTATATTTTAATTTCTCAGGAGGTGCGTCCCGATACGATACCGGACCTCAAGGTGGATGCCACATTCCGCAAGGTGCCCAAGCATGCAATAAGTTTTGCACTGTGGAAAATCGATGAGGATCGGTTGGAGGCAGTGGCTCGCTCGCAATATGGTACCTTCTACGACAACTGTGCCTACATCATCTATGCAGCCAACTTGGTGGGACACTATGCCAACCACGAAACCATCGTAAGTACAAATCTCAATCTCACTTTAATATCCCACTAATCTGGAGTTCTCCATTTGCAGACACGCGAACAGAAGGCGAATGTGCCGCTGGAGCGTTACATTCACTACTGGCTGGGCAACAATGTCACCGAACAGAATCGCTCTAATGTCGTCCACAAAATCCAGGAGCTCGACTCCTATCTGGGCAATGTGGCGTCCATTTATCGCGAGTCGCAGAATAATGAGAGCGCTCGCTTTTTATCCTACTTTAAGAATGGCTATGAGTAAGTGTTGCAAGCCGACCAAAAAAGTAGACTAAGAAAATAAGGACCTGAATCTTCGAAAATAATATTTTATATAGAAGAAAATTCTTAAATTATTATTAAACAATACAATTTTTTACATAGTTTAGAAATTTACTCAACTTATCTTGAAAAAACTTGCGATTTTGCGGGTATTCGAAGCTGAGATCCTTCGTTCTAAACTGTAATAAAGCAGTCGAGAGGGCAAATTTAATTACTGCTTTCTAAATTTCAGAAAGGATTTGTTCTACTTTTTTTGAAAATCATTTCTTAGTAGCAAATATTTATATTTTAAATTTGGGACTGTCTATGAAGGGCAAGTCCCTCTAAAATTACAATAAAAATGATTAAATTTAGCGATTTTCGAATGTTTTTTCTGAGTGTAAATATCACAAACTTTAATATCTATTTCCTCTTGGCAATTTCAGTGTACGTTCCGGAGCCTTGGTCAATCAGCCAGAGCAGACGAGTCTCTTTCAGTTGTATGGGCGCAAATGGTTGCGTGCCGTTGAGTTGGCCAACATTGATTGGACGCACTTCAATTCGGATTACATAATGGTGCTGCTTATGGACACCATTACATTTGTATGGATCGGACGCGCCAGTGCCTCCATCGAGCGTCGCAGCGCCTTGGCCTGGGTGCAAAGACAGCGCAAGGATGATGCTGCCACACTCTGCATTGTGGACGATGGCTACGAGCAATCGATGAGCGCCGAGCAGAAGCAGCTGTGGAACACGGTGTTGCCGCTGCAACAACGTATAGTTTATCAGACAACCAAGTCGGGTAGCGATTGCAATTACGATTGCAACAGTAACAACAACAATAATAAGACCAACGGCAACAGCAGCAACAACAGCGACAACAGCAACAGCAGCAATGGCAGCAATAAATTTCGCATTTACAAATGCAATCAACGCGGACGTTTGCATCTGGATCAACTGGATGTGGGCATGCCCGGCAAGGATGACCTGAGTGATGCCCATGGCGTCTATTTGCTGGACAACTATGGTCAGAGCATTTGGCTGTGGGTCGGTGCGCAGGCAACCCAAGCGGATGCCCTCACAGCCATGGGCAATGGACGTGCCTTTGTCAAGAAGAAGAAATACCCGAATAGCACTTTGGTGGTGCGCGTCCTCGAGGGCCACGAGCCCGTCGAGTTCAAGCGTCTCTTTGGCAACTGGCTGACCATCTGGCAGGATAATACACGGGGCCACAAGCCCGTCTCCACCAAATTTGGCAAATTGGATGCTGTGCTGCTGTGTGAGCGACCCAAAATGGCTGCGGACACCCAACTGGTGGACGATGGACGTGGCGAGCGCATTATCTATCGCATCTGTGGCGATCAGTTTGATCAGCTGCCAGACACCAAAGTTGTGGTTTTCACCACCAACGCCTCCTATGTGGTCAAGTACACCATTCAGGTGAGTGGCGTCAAATTGTGGTTTCTTGTTCATTATGCTTGAGTGGGTTTTGACTCTGTGGCTGGGGGAGTTATGATATTGCGAAATACCCTAGTAAAGAATTGAAAAAATAATAATTTACAAGTTTAAAAGTATTTTTTGTATAGTACCAACCAGTAGTGAGTAGCATCTGCAACCCTAAAGAGCATATATATATTTAAAATAAAATCTTCAGTTTGATTTTGTATAGACCAAGACGTATTATTCATCAACTGCACATATTTCATTAAGATCGTCAAAGAAAGGCTGGTTTTCATACTGGCAGCAAGCCTACTGAATGTTTACCAAGTGGACTTAGAGTATCTCCGAGTCGAGCTCTCTCGACTAGACCATTGTAACATAATTTTTACAGTCTAATGCCAAAAGTTTTCTTTATTTTGGAGATTAATTTCAACAAAGCTGTCTTGCAGCAACTGAAACTCGGCTCAAAATGGAATTTGTTTAATTTGTTTTTATAGTATTTTTTATAGATATTTGTGCAAGCGTACAATTATCATAAAAACCTGTTGCATATATTAATTAAAGCTTGTATTCATATTTATATATTGCAGTGCGCTACTGTTGTGCCTGCTGATCTGGCTTCCGTGGGCATAAAGAGCATCATCTATCAGTGGAACGGTTCGGAGGCGTCAGCGGAAACAATAGCCAAGGCCGACAGCTATGCAATGGCCAGTTTTGAGAAGTTGAACGGAGTGCCGAGCATGTTTGTGCAACTATACGAGTTCGATGAGACGCCACACTTCTTGCAACTGTTCGAGGGCAAACTGATCATCATGCGTGGGCAGCGAAGTGAGTTGCTGCACTCGAACAACAACATGAGCTGGGACTTTAAGACGAACATTATGTTGGAGACATTTCTGCTGAAGGTGTATGGCGATGCCAGCTATAATGGCAAAGCTGTCGAGGAGCATCGGCTATCATCGATTAGCTCCAAGGATTGCTATGCCATCAAAACGAATCATGTGTGGGTCTGGTGCGGTCAGAGCAGCACTGGCGATGCTCGAGAAATGGCCAAGGCTGTGGGCGGTCTGCTGGGCGAGAGTTCGCTGGTTCTGGAGGGCAAGGAGAGCAAAGAGTTTTGGCAATCGGTGGCCATGTACTTCAATCAGACGCTCGTCATCAATGGCCAATCCTCGGCAAGCAGCACTACGAGCAGCAGCAGCAGCAGCGGCGCCGGCAGCATGTGCAACGGCAGCAGCAATGGTGGTGGCAACATTTCACCCACATTGAGCAATAATTGCTATCTAAACACCACAGTGCCCCTCAAGCCACGCCCACCCGTCCAACTCTTTCTCGTCTGGTGGCAGCAATCCCAGCTACGCTGCGAGGAGATCTTGGGCTTTGAGCAACAGGATCTGTGTGCGGATTGCACTTATATCCTTGACACAGGCACCTTGGCCTATGTCTGGCTCGGCTCGCGGGCGCTGAGTCAGGAGCGGGAGCGTTACATATCGATTGCACAGTGCTATGTGCAGAATTCACCATTTGGCAGACGATCGGCGACCGCTTTGGCTGTTGTGCGACAATATGCCGAACCGAATGTCTTCAAGGGCTTCTTTGAGACGTGGGACAATGAGTGGGGCAAGGTAAGAAGTCTTTACTTTTATATATCAACCATTATTTAATTGTTTAACTCTCAGAATTTCCTTGGCTACGATCAACTGCGTCAGAAACTGGGTAGCGTGGCGCCCAGCAATTGCCTCAAACAGGACTCGGCTCTGCTGCTCAACAACAGCCAAAAGGATTTCGATGGACACAAGAAATATCCGTTGCCGGTGTTGGTGCAAGAAATGGACATGCTGCCACCCGAAATTAATCCGTTAAGGCGTGAGGTATTATATCAATTTATTAAATATATACATATATATATATATGTAATAATATTCGCCTTCTCTTTTTTTAGGTTCACCTCACGCATGATGATTTTGTTGCCGTCTTTAAGATGTCCTTTTATGAGTTTGATGAGCTGCCCAAGTGGAAAAAGCAGGAACTTAAAAAGCTCTACAAACTGTTTTGAGGCCAATATTGTGGAATTGTTGAAACCTCTCACACACACCCATACACACACACACACACTGTATATAATACACTTCAATTGGCTTTCTTTTACCTAGCTGGTATAGTAATAAAGCAGCGTTAGTTATATATATATATATATATATAAAATATTCCCCATACTTGTAGATTATATATATATTTGAAGCACTATTATTATGAAATATAACAATGAATCGATGGTATATATCATCACAAATCAGGTTGTCGTTTCCACTTCCGAAGAGTCGGGGTCATCATCACCGCCGGAACCTATTAACAATATATATCCTTTATTAACTTTCTTTTTTTATTTAGCTCGAACTCACTGGGAAATATCAAGCCTACTATAAACTCAAATATGCCGCCCAATAAATCCCAGAACATTTTTGCTTATTGTCCGCTGTGGCTATCGTTCTGTAACTAAATGACAACCATTTGGGCCATATTTTTTTCTCGAAATAGTCTGTCGACTATTTAATGAGCCGTGGCCGAAACGCAAAACGTTTTTATTCGTATCAATCTCTGGGCTTCAATTATTGGCCAACTGGGTCAATAGCTTGCGTTTATTGAAATGCTTTTACAAATGTTCAAAACAAATTTATTAGTAAATTGTTGCATCCATGCTCTATTTGGTCTTAATAATAATCATCATAATAAGTGCCAAAGTAATCCTCATCAGCTATCAAATTATTTAAGGAGAATCATTAAATTCTTGTAAAATTGAATTATGATTAATGTCACTCACTGATATCGGAGAAAAACAGATCGTTCAGAAAGCCCATCAATACCTCGCATATAGCGCAGCAATCCATTTTTCAGCTTTTCTGAGCTTATTCGAATTTTAGGTTTTTTTTTTATTGCTGTGGCTTTTGATTTTTATTTTGCATTTAATTTGCTATGATTGAGTTAATGTTATTTATATGGGAATATTTTATTGGCATGGACTTGAAATAAAATATTGTTAATGGTTGTCTTCCACCGAATCGTCGACGTTGTTGTCAGCTAGAGAAAGGCGTTAACTATATATATTAAACATGTTATAATGATATCAGTTGCATTTACAAACTTACAGCCAAACAGCACATCGCCAATCATTTCAAGTATAATACCAATAAACTCACAATCCTCCATGGCTTTTAAACGTTGACTAAAGTTAGCATCGAAACGCAGGGCCTTCATATAAGGCCAACAAAATTCATTTGATTATTCGGGCTTAACCTTGAATTCATTTCACGACTAATGTGCAATATTAATTTAATTTGAAGCTATTTTGTAGCAAATTCAATGTTAAATAACGCATTGCAAATAATTGCCCTTTGTTCAATTCATCTCTTAAAACATATTTTTATTGCCCAACATTAACAAAGAGTGTAATTAATTTTGTTGTATGTAGCCTGTGCTAATAGACATCGTAGCCGTACATGGGCGCCTCCATGAATGCCTTCTGCTGATCCGTTGAATTACGCCGTATTCTACGACCAATCGGCTCCAGATCCGCATAGCACTTGGGAAACACTCGCTCCACAGCAGCCACGGCCTGTTCATGGCTTATATTGCGCACGGCGAGCACAGAAGCAAGTGCCTTTGATTTGACACAGTTCTGCAAAGATTTGAAGTTAAATAAGATTAGAAATAAGCGTCTGCTGAGAATTGCCAAAGATTGGCTGCCCAATGTGAATTCAAAATCCTTGAATGCAATTTTATAGAGAATGTCATTGGGATTCTAACGAGCTAGAAGTATTTTTGCTAACGCACTTTTGTCATTTAGTCAAAACTCCTCCAAATCCTTTAGCATCTCGATGGGACACATTATTGAGATCACATTAATGAAAGCTATCGTTTTGCATGCATACTTTCAAGGATTCAAGGGGTAGGTCAGAAAAGTGAGACAACTTTAGATAGAGTACATCCTTGCGATTCTGCACGAAATCCTATGAAAATCTGCAAGGATTTAGTCGAGCTAGAGCCTTTTGGTTGCCACTTGTTCCCCAAAACGTATGCATCAAATCTTTGACTGCGGGAAATTTAGCCAGTGCAGCAACCCAAAATTGTGTCACCGCTAGGGGTATTTTGAGTCTTATTTAATGAGATTCATAGCTAGAAAATAGTTGCACCTACCTGATGCGCTTCCTTGACATTGAATGGCGATGCATCGCCCTGCATCATGGCGCTGAGGAAAGAGCAATGCGCAAGATTCGCCGCACGGATTTCGGTGCAGGCCAAATGATCCACATTACGAAAATCCAAATCATTATTGCAATAGTCAAACATGTGAATCATTTCGTGTGTTAAAACACCATGTACCATGCTCTTATTCGTAGCCATATTCTGGCAGACGACTATCTGATTGAGCACTGGGTCATAGCCACCGGTCACCGTTGGATCACACACCTCGCACGAGATGTGCCGCCGCAGGTCCATGGGACAACCAGAACTGCGCAGGGCGCCCATCATCAGTTTGACCAGCGGACCATTTTTCACACACCAATACACATTCTGTTCGCACTTGTAGCGATCGATGTTCTCCTTGCCCTCCATCCCCATCAGGATTCGCGACCATTTCGGTTTGTAGACCTCGCCACGACGTTCTGGATAAAGATCATAACCCCATTCCTTTGGCTCTTTACTCGGTGTGCTGCTCTCCTTTGTGTCTGTTACGGGCTTTGTATCGTTCACTACGACGGCGGCGGGTATTGTTTCCGTTGTCGCTGAAGCCTTGGCAAACACTTGTGTCAGGAAATCCATTAAATATCACTTTTATTTAACTTTGACTTGTGTTGTTAAGGGGCCAATGTTAAATAACAAACCGGCAGCTGTTTGCCAAGTGCTGCCAATGCGTGCAAAGTAGTTGGTATTTTATGTGTGCTTACACGATGCAATTGGGCGTTCGACTTTAGAAAGCAACTAGTGCTTCATACTGCATTTTTTCTTTTTGTAATATCTGTATGAGACATATAAATATATACTTATAAAGTGTAAATTTCATAATACGTTATGTAACGTTTCAGTTAATTTTCTCAGATTACAACCATAATTGCAAATGTATACTAGACATTTGCCTAGTGCAAGCAAACAAAATACTCTACTATGGAATAGTTGCATACAAATTGTTCGTTTTGTCAACTGGACTTTTGCTGAAACGAAATTGGTTAGTATACATTTAAAAACTAGAAACATAAATTTAAAAATAGAACAGTCTCAAGTCACAACCATAAGCTCAAATGTTCATCACAACAATTGCCTGGCAACGGTTGCTGTGCAACCGACTAACCAGCGATATTGTGAGTGAGCTGCAGTAAAACATATATAGGCATTACAAAAAAAAAAAAAAGATTAAAAACATTGTAAACGATTTAATTAATTTAAAAGATATATCAAAAATCAATTGTCTGGCAAGAGTTGATGCCTCACAAACGAACGACTCTTCTTGACTAACGAGCTGTGTCGTGTGTGAGCCACTATACACAAGCGCTTTATCTTCTTGTTATATTTTAGTAGCCACTTTTGATTATTGTAAATAAATATACAAATTTTATATATTGAAGGATTCAGTTAATCGACAGGCAGCAGTTGTATGACGTCCCCACAAACGAATGACTCGATTCTCAATTAACAAGCTGTATCGTGTGTGGGCCACAGTACACAAGCGCAGTTATCTTCTTATGGCTGCATACAATTTTTTGGTATTTTCGAGTTAGGCACATGCGGCATACTTCACCGCTGACCGGCATTTATGAGAGTGAAATTTACACGTAATTGGTTTTGTTTGTCACAGCGCAGCGACAGCGATCTGAATATGCACACACAATTCATACGATTAGCTTTAATAGCATATGCTTTAATCGTCGCAGTGGTTTACGGCGATAAAGATAATAATATACGCCGACCACGCGGAGTTTCACTGGCAAAGGCGGCACTTTATCAGCCGCAGTCGGATGGCAGCTGGAGCTGCTTGGATGGTAGCAAACGGATACCGTTTGTGCAGATCAATGATGACTACTGTGACTGCGCCGATGGCAGCGATGAGCCCGGCACCGCGGCCTGTGTCCAAATGCGTTTCCACTGCATCAACCAGGGTCATCAGCCCCTAGATATTTACAGTTCGCATGTGCAGGATGGCATCTGTGATTGTTGCGATGGCAGCGATGAGTTGCCTGCCGTGGGTTGTGCCAACACCTGCCTCGAACTGGGCGCCGCAGCGGCCATCCAGCGACGCAGCGAAGCGGAGCTCCACAAACGGGGCGCCGAGCGACGTCAGGAGATGATTACGCGTGGCAAGCAGCTGAAAGCGGATCGCGTTGCACGTCGTTCCGAGCTGCAGGCACGCATCAAAGAGCAGGAATCACTCAAGGCCGAAAAGGAGCAGCTGAAGACAAATGCGGAGGCCTTGGAAACGGAAGCATTAGAGGTGTATCGGGAACAGCAACGGGAACTGGATGCGAATACGGCTCAGGCGGAGCAGGAGCCGCAACAGATGCGACATGAGGCCAGCTTGAGCTTTGTGCGCTTCGATGCCAACAAGGATGGCTTTGTGGAGATCACAGAACTGATGATCGACATGGATTTAGATAAGGATCGCAATGGAGTCGTCACCGTTGAGGAAGCCAAATATTTCCTCGATGAACGCGAACGGGTCGATTTGGACGCATTCGTTACGCTCGCCTGGCCCAGGATTAAGCCACTGAAAATGCTGGCTGATGGTTTGTTTCAGCCACCCCAAACCGAGGAGCAGGCGGCCACTGAGGCGCCACTGGCCAATGAGCAACGTAAGCCAAAGATTCTCTTCTATTTTTATAGCTATTAAAAATTGATAATTTTTGGCACTTTGCAGAAGAAGCGCAGTTGGAAATTGATCCACCCACCAATGAGCATGAGGACCTGGAGGATGAAGAGGAACACTACGACGATGAGGAGGACGAGGAGGAGGAACCGGATGTGGGTGTGGGTGAAGCCCTGCCCGAATTCGAGGCAACAACAGAGACAACAACAACAACGCCCAATTATGATCCAGAAACACAGCGTCTGATTGAACAGGCGAATGGAGCACGCCAAGCGCTGGAGGAGGTGGAGCGTCAGTTGCGAGAGATCGAGCACGAGGTCAAGGAGATTGAGGAGCAGGATGCCAAGGACTATGGAGTGAACGAGGAGTGGGCAATGCTCGACGGCGAATGCTATACGTTCGAAGATCGGGAATATGTCTACACTTTGTGTCCCTTCGATCGTGTCTCGCAAAAGCCCAAAAATGGCGGAGCTGAGACAACTTTGGGTCGCTGGGATCAGTGGTTTGGCGAGGGAGATAATAAGTATACCCGGCAAAAGTATGCCCAGGGTGCTGCCTGCTGGAATGGACCACAACGTTCGGCGCTTGTCAACATTCGTTGTGCGGTGGAGCCAAAGATTACGGCTGTCAGCGAGCCGAATCGTTGTGAATATAGTTATGATTTTGAGACGCCGGCTGCGTGTGATAGTGATGCACTCGCTGCCACAGCCAGGGCACACGATGAACTTTGAACCCGCTACAATATGATGAATAATCTTTTCTTATGCAAATCCCGATTGTATTCTAGTTTCTAAAGGAGTGCGAAAGAGGTGGAGAGAAAGAGAGAGAGAGAGTGGAGAGTGGAGTGCAGTGTTGCATTGCATCGTGATTTGCTGATCATTCCCCATAGGTGGCGCTCATCATCATTGCACATCATTCGTCGTAGACAATTATTAATTTCAGCGCGTGCGTCTTTGCATTTAAGCCAAGCAAAAAGTTTCATTTTTTATTAAATATACAATATACATACACTACACATTCGTATTTCGTACAAAAGTGTTGTTTGATTTATTTATGGCTCTGTAACGGCAAGCTTAATGTCCTCCAAATAGCCATCGACCTGATGCTCCAAGGCCAATATGTGACCCGTATTGCAATCCTCGGCGCCAACAAATGTCAGAATTAATGGCAATTTGTTCATTTGCACCACCTGTGGGAATGAGGCGGAAAGAGTTGCAGTGAGTATTATAACTGTTCTTCACATTTTGCATAGTTTCTGTAAGTTGTGCCGTTATTAAACACAAGATTTATCACTTTACAACACCCACCCACCTGATAATTGGAATACATGGAAATAATGGTTTTATTACGACCTAGGCCCAATTTGCTGGCCTGATCGCAGGCCGTTGTGAATGTGGGTATAAAAGATGGCATTAACGCAAAATCCACATTCTTCTCCTGGTTGTGGCTGACCCGTAGCAGCGGCACCCCATCGCGATCCGTTATCTGTATGACGTAGAGGCCGCTGACCCTGCAAGCAGCACAAATTTATTTCATATTAGCAAGGCTTATGTGTGTGTGTGTGTGTAAGAGATCTTTAACTGTATACGACACGTACTTGTGCAGCAGGCCATTAAAATACTTTTTAATGTCGTCGGACATTTCAGTGCTTGTAATAATAAATAAAACAATAACAATATTGTATTGGAGCAATAACAAAACAAACTTGTGCAAATGCACTAAATTTGACCAAATTTTTGCGAAAATACCAAGTTGAAATTAAAAAAAAAAGTTTAGTGTAATTGAATCTTAGAGATTAGTTTTAATAATATAATTAGTCGACATTTGAGTCAGTCACGGATGATTTCATGTCTCCCCTATTAAATGAGCTGCAAATACTGTTCTATACCAAATTTTTTTGCCCCCTATAAGCAAAAAAAGCACTTAAAAATCAGCTAATTTTGTCCAAAAAATACCAAGTTAAATATCAAATAACGCGCTTTTGAATCAGCTGTGAATACTTTAAAATACTTTCAATTACCCATTATTCTTTCCAACCAAAACAAGCACTTTAATATCACCTAAATTTGCCAGAACGACAGCAAAAATACCAAGTTAAATTACAATAAACTGGCAATGTACGTACGTGTTTTGTTTTTCTGATAAAATTATTACAATAACTATGATTTAATATTGTTAAACAACTAATTCTTAGGGTATCCACAATGATGGCTGCCAGTGCACCCACTCCCAGCAAGGCCAAGTCCACATCAGAAGCTGTTCCCACTGATGACGACTACACTTCGGGAATGTCTCATTTGACAATTGGTGTTCAGATCCAGGAACTATCGAAACGGCTGCAAAACACCACTGAGGAACTACATCAGCAGGTGCGCGACAAGCATGGTGCACTTTTGCAGCAGGCAACGCATGCGGGTCGCTTCGATGCTGCACTTAACTCCCTCGCGGAGGATGTGCAACGAGTGCGGGCCACAGGACATCGCCTCAAGGGTCAAGTGGACACACAATATCAGCTGGTGGAGAATCAAACGCAAGTGTTGGGTCGCCTGCATGAGGTGTCGCATATGTTGCGCTCAGCGGGCACACTGCTGACCCTGACTGCCAAGCTGAAGAACACAAAGGATGTGCTGCGACAGGCGGAGCTGCATTTCGAGCTGGGTCAACTCATCGAGGACAAGGAGCTGAAGGATATTGAGTTCATACAGGAGGAACGTGCCTATGTCATAAGCTCCCGGCAAAAGATACGCAATCTAACCCAGATGCAGCTGGTCACCGGTCTGCAGGAACGTAATCAAATGCAGGTCGTCAATGCGCTGAAGGTAAACGTGAATTGGGATGAAAATAAATCCTTCCAAGACTTTACAGGGTATCTCCTTGCACTATATATGTATATATGTTCATAACACACAACTACAAAATATCTTTTTTTTTAGATCTTTATAAATTTCAACACGTTGGAAAAGTCGTTGGAGAATCTGCTGGCCACCTTCATAGCGGACATGGAACAATCTCTCAAGGAGTGCTTTGCCGGCACAGATATTTCCGTGCTGAATAAAGCGGATGCAATGCGTTCACCGACGCACGGAGGCTCCAATGGTTCCTCGAAGTCTGGTGCGGCACGTGGTCCAGGCAAAGCGCCTCAGTTGACAACAACACAGAATTTTCGTGCCAAATTCTGGAAATCGTTGCATTGGCTGCTGTACGATGAGCTCTACGAGAGCTGCACACAGATTAAGCTGCTGAAAACGGCGCTGGAGCAGATCAATCAATTTGGCTACACATCGGAGGCATCCGATCAATGCATTCCACAGCGTTTCTGGCAGCGGGTTCAGCAATTGTTGCGCAAATCTTTCGATGAGTGCCCACAGCACGTGAATCAAACGCTGCAGGAAGGATTGTCTAAGCTGTTGACCTCCGCTCGTGGTTTGGAGCAGCGTTTGAATAATGAATTCCAATTTGATAATGAGATCTTTGCCCCATTGGAGGTGGGCTATGTCAGCAAATGTGCTGCGAATATGAAGGCCTGTTTGGCAGGTGTTGATCTCCCCGGCAATGAGACGGTGGATAATTTTATAAGGATCGCATTCACGGAGTTGAGTGCGGCGCTCATTGATAGCCGGTTGAGCAATACGATTGCAAATGTCTTCATTGCCTGTGGCAAGGAGTTGTGCACCAAGCTGGAGGCACAAATTAAACTGGGCGCTGACTCGAAGCAGGTTGTCGATTTGCCCAATTTGCAGCAGCAACAAAATACACAGTTGGCAAATGTCCTTTACTACTACAAGGATTCGGTGCGTCGCATGCTGAGCGATTTGCAGCTGCAATTTGAGAAGACACCGGGTGCAGCACGTGGCAACATTGCGCGCTCGCTGGAGCAGGCGGATCTACTAATTGGCACCATTCTACAACAGATTATGGAATCGATTATATCGGCTATCAGCATTATCATTTTGAGCATGCATCGCGAGCCGGGCTTAAATACGGATCGGGTGTCCGCAACGGGTCCATCCATGTACATGAAAGAGCTGCAGGTGCGTTGAGGCAGCATAGTTTTTATTATAACGTCTAATCCTAATCTCCCCTTTCCAGGAGTTCGTCACTCGCGTCTGGTCGCATCACATTGAGCTGTTTGATGACAAGGAGATGACTGGCAAATGTGGCCACGAGCTGGCCAAGCGTTGCATTGAGCTCTTCATACACAATCTGTGCATATTGCGACCGCTGAGTGGAGCGGGCAGACAGCGCCTGAAGCAGGACTGCCAGCACATGGAGCAGGCTTTGAAATCCCTTTGTCCTAATCTTGCCGAGCTCGGGAAACCATCGCGTCTTTTGCGCGCTATGTCGCTGCTAATTGTGCAGAGCTCGCAGGAGCTGGTCAAGCAGACAGTTGGCGTCGATTCCCTGGTGCCCAGTTATATAGTGTTGTTGCTTCTCTTTGGACATGCTGGCGGAGAGCTCCAATCGCCGCACACCTGTGCAAATTGGTCGAATGAACGGCTGATTGAATGGCTCGATGGGCATACGGCGGAGCGGGAGAAACTGGAGCTGATATCGGGCGCATTGCAGCGCTATCGTGACAATGCCAGACGCAAGAATATCCAGCAATACGACGAGATCTATCCCATGATGGTGGATTACTTTGAGCAGGCCTTAAAAGCAATCACATAATTTAAATTTGTAACTGCAATTGCAATTTAATAATAAAGTATTTTAAGTTACCGTTACCCATTCGTTACTTGTTAACGATAGTTAAATATCGATAAGTAGTTTAGCGTGTGTAATCGACAGCACGCTCATTAGAAGTGACATCACTGGCTAGACACACCATTTTGTTTGAGGAAAAAATCGTGGTAAACGTTTTGCTGTGTGAAAGTGACTAAAAGTAATTATTAGAAATAATATATATATATATAAATAAGCAACAACAATGGACAACATTGAGCGACTATATAAATGCTATGAAATATTATCGGAAGCGGGTGATAAAATAACTGAGGTAAGGCGCCATTGCAAGAAAAACGCGTCGAAATGAACGGTACTCGCATACTTTTCTCTATGTGTGTTTGTTTTGTGTGTATGTGTCTAAATGCATGCAATTTCATAAATCGCGCCGGCGCTGACTAAGGAAAAAAAAGTATAATATAATATATAATATTGTTTTGCGTTGTGCGTGTTTTCAGCATGTTGCGGAATACAAAGAGATATTGCAGGCCGTAAAAGGCACCTCGAAGGAGAAGCGTTTGGCATCCCAATTCATTGGCAACTTTTTCAAACACTTTCCGGAACTATCAGATACGGCGATTGATGCACAGTTCGATCTATGCGAAGATGATGATACACAAGTAAATAAAATTGAAAAATATAAATCTGAATACATATACAATAAAAAAAAACACTCTGATCTCTTGCAGATACGTCGACAAGCCATTAAAGATTTGCCCAAGCTCTGTCAGGGCAATGCAGAGGCTACTGTACGCGTGGGTGACACTCTCGCCCAACTGCTCATATTGGACGATGCAACCGAGTTACAGCAAGTCAATAACTCCTTGCTAAGCATCATCAAACTGGACACAAAGAGCTCCATAACTGGTCTATTCCAGCAGATCACCACCGGTGATGAACCGACACGTGAACGTTGCTTCAAATTCATTGCAACCAAACTGTTGACCATGGGCCCCAATGTCATCACCAAGGAAATCGAGGAATACATCGTTGAGGAGGTGAAGAAAGCCTTACAGGATGTAACAGCCGATGAATTTCATCTCTGCATGACCATTTTGGGTGCCACCAAATTGGGCAGCACAATAACCGGGCATGCAGAACTCGTCAAACTGGCTACGGAACAGGCAGAACTAAATAGCACCGATACGGACTCGATTGCTGTCGACGATGAGATTGTCGAGCGTTTCATACAATGTGCTACAGCAGCGGCGCCCTACTTTTCGGTAAGGCCGGCAAATGCTTAAGCTTCCTTATCTATCTAAATTCGATTTTTTTCTCTCTCTAGAAAACTATAAAATCCACACAATTTGTTGTCTACGTTTGCGATAAATTGCTGCCAATAAACACATGGAATTTGATTGCCACAGCAGTTGCACAAGATCAAATACAATTGCGATTACTAAAAGTATTTGCCGAAATGATAACCAATACGGACAAGCTGGAAAATGCAAATGAACGCATTAATGCCGTATACAATGTGCTACTGGTAAGTGATTTGACTGTGGACTTGATTGTGAATGTGGTTTTAATTAATTTCCATTTGTCTTACAGGAATATATGCCGTTGCCAAAGCTAAGCGATGAGGAAGTGGCCGATACACCGCCCTCATTCCAGTTCTCGCACGCTGAATGTTTGCTTTATGCATTGCACACGCTGGGCAAAAAGCATCCCGGCAATTTAGCATTTGTCGAGGATGCCGATAAACTAAAAGACTTTCGTGCTAGATTGCAATATCTAGCACGCGGCACGCAGGGGTAAACATATACCTTAAACTATTAAAATAATCAACTAAAACTATTTATATTTATAGTTATATTAAGAAGTTGGAGGAGGCACTCAAAGGCAAGTCCGCCGAGGAACTGAAAACGGAAGAGAATCAATTGAAGCAGACGGCGCTGAAGACAACATCAAATATCAATATATTGATACGAGATCTATTTCATTCACCGCCCATCTTCAAACATGACGTTGTCCTCTCCTGGATTGTGCCAAAAAATGTATGCACAAGTAATGTAATTCTTATGTTTATTAGATTTTAATGTATTTTGAATTGCTTGCAGACGAAGCTGGGCAAACGACATGTGCCCATCACATTTGGGGACAAGGGCGCCGCCAATGGTAATAATCAGGAGCAACAACAGGAGCAGCAGGATAAGAAATCGCGGCCATCCAATGAACAGAAATTCTATTCGCCACCATCGGGCAAATACTCGGGAAAGGTGAACTCCAACTATGGCAACAACAATCGCACGCGGCAACGTGGAGGAAACTTTAGGAATCGACGCTACAACAGATATTAAATCAAACTACTTTCGTCGCATGTTTTGCTGTTCCCTCTTCTCCTAGTCGTTAAACAGAAACAGAAAAAAAAACGATATTAGAGATTAGGCATTGATTCTCTAGTAACGTTTCGGATCCACGTAGAAAATAAACAACTTTCTTCTAAACCAAACCCCACATAACAAAAAAAGACGAAGTTCGTTGCAGATATTGCTGAAGTATCCACGTTCAACACAGGTGAGTATCGAGTGCACTTTCCATGTAACTGTCTACCTTTTATATATTTCAGAGTCTCAGCAACAATAAAAACAACACAACTGTTCCCCCAAATTCTCTCGATTTTTGTTCATTTTTCGAAACAGCACAAGACAAAATGCTGAGTGTATTTTAGAAACACGTTTTTGCCAAATTGTCGCATGATATCCTCAAAACAATGTCACGTCATATATTGTTTGTCTCGTACATTGTTTTATTATATCATGCCTCATTTTAATATCGATCTATCAATCTATCCAATGCTAGTTGTAATCATATAAAATAGTTTTTAAACCATTTGCAATAACTCTCATCTTAATCATAATCAAATCAAATCAACAACAATGAAGTTTCCCTCATATATAAAAAGAACTAATCGTAAAATCGTGTAAAAAGAAAAGCTTGTCTAAAATTGATTTTATTCGCAAGCATCATTAATTATTTTATGTTTACATAGATTTGCAAACAAATTGTACAACGTAACCAAGAAAATTCAACAACAACCACTACAACAAAAATATGCGAACATAAAATTTGAAAATTCAATAAATGAAAAACTAGAAAACCGGTTTCGCTGGAAACCAAAAAAAAAATGAGTTGTGTTTCTTAAACTTATCAGAATAGAATTACGATTCCTCACGATTGAAAACAAAAAGGAATCATTTGTTTTTGTTTATTTATTTAGCATTAATAAAAATATATATGTATGTGTATTTAAGGGTCATTCTGAAACATTTAAAACAAACGATTTCCATTACACATCGATGATGGTTGGTTGATTGGTTGGTGGCTAACACTAAAGTGGACAACGATGTAACCATTCATAGCTCTACATGTTTGGCGGCGGCTGATTGCCCGGCTGTTGTTGGGAGCCGGGTGGTCCGCCGGGCTGTCCGCCCGGATTTTGGCCAGAGCCCGGCTGATTGGCGCCGACCAGCTGTGTGGCAAAGCTTTGGAACAATTGTAGCATATCATTCGGCATGGGCATGGGCCCACCGGGTGCACCAGGAGCAGCACCACCACCGCCGGCACCACCAGCCCCGCCAGCCCCACCCAAATTCGTGAACATCTGCCCGATGGCATTCATGACCATTGGATTCTGTGTCATCGATTGCAATTGCTCCAGATCGATCTCGGCGCTATTGAAGAGATTACGCACTGTGGGATTGGATAACATCGCGTTGAGGCCATCACTCAGATGCGACAACTGTGGTGGCTGATTGCGTGCATTGCGCACCACCTCCAGATTGTTGCGATAATCGGCATTGTCCGGCTCCAGTTCAATGGCCTTGGCATAAGCATGTTCCGCCTCCGTGAATTTGCCCAAATTGGAATAGGCGACGCCCAGGCGACAATAAGCCTTGCTATAGTTGACATTATAGAGCAGTGCCGATTTGCAATCGGTCACGGCCCGATCATTGTCACCCAGACGGATGTGGGCCGCCGCACGATTGCAGTAGAAGATCGGATTCTTGGGATCGAAGGTGATGGCGCGATTATATTGTAGCAATGCCTCATTAAATTTGCCATCTTTCATCAAGCGATTGCCCTCGTTCTTGATGGACTCCGCCAAGGCCAATGATTCCGGATTGCGTTCAATGTACAGCGATTGGAAGAGCTCAAACATGTCAATGTTCTTTGTATTGACGACACCCGAACTGGTACTGGAGCCGGTCTGCATGGCTGCATCGCCGCCCGATGCTGTGCCGGCGCCAGGAACGGCCGCTGTTGTGCTCTGCTCTGTGGCCGTTAACTGTTGCTGTTCGGGCTCCTCGTCGCCCACGTCGAAGGCGGCCTGTAGGCATTGAATGGCGACCTCGATGCTTTCACTTTGATCCGGCGACATGACATCCACCTGCTTCTTCAAGTAATCGATGAAGGAGCGCACAAAGCTCTGCTGCACTGCGTCCTGCATTTTTTTGTTTTCGATTTAGTCTTTTGGATCCGGTTGTATTATTTATATTTGTTTTTTTTTTCGTTCGAGTTTATTATCCTTATGGAAATTCACTTATGTGGCTCATCGAGCTTCTCTCTATACGCACATACACAATGAAAACTCGCTGAGCATGCGACGACAGATTTTTAGTGACGAGCTACAATTTCTAGGGTTGCTCGATTACTGTGCAAATGTATTGCAGCGTTGCCAGATTATCAGCGCAGCTAAATGACTAGCAGAATTTCACGATGTTTAATGGCTAGCGTTATCGTTACCGAGTAACGAAATCGGGTTTGTTTAATGGAGTTAATGAAGTTGCTTAAAATTACTTTCGGGAACACTTTACTTGCAGCACAACCAGTGGTAAGCGACTTAACCTAGCTTGCTCATTTGATTTAAATCAGATAACCTTTTAACTTGAGATAGATATATTTCAGTCATAAAAATATATACACTCAATATCGAAAAATAAAAGTGCAATACATTCGCACTTCTATTTTTATTTTTTGCCGCCCTATATGCTTTATAGCGCGCATAAGCGTTCTGTGACTGCTTGAAGCCCGCGCGCGTTCTCTAATATTCAGTGATGAGCAAAATAATGTGTAGGGCTGCCAGATTGTCAGCGCTAGCAAAATGACAAGCAGATTTCTGGCATATCGTTATCGTTATCGAGCGCGTGAAAAACTGGTTTTTTGCTCTGTTGTTTATGTAGTTACTTGCAAGAGCTTCCCAAGCTTTTTGGCAGCATGCAACAAAAGACTTTTCAGTTAAACGCTCTCCGCTGCTAGTTGTTGGCGTGTCTTACTTGCGAGCGTCTCTACAACTTGTTGTTGTTGTTATAGTTGTTGTTGCTTTAGTCGTGTCGGAATTATTGCTTCGCTGTCTGTCTAGAACAACAACAACAACATCACACAAAAAATAAACAATAGAGCGATTATTAATATTAGTTTCGGGCATATGTTGAGACATTGCCAAAATTAGCAGCGCAGCCAGCTACTTATGCAAGTGCGTAAGTGAGTGTGTGCGTGTGTGTGAGAGCTTCTTTTTGGCGTGACGTCAGTCTTCCTTTCGCAACAATCCTTTCGGCGACGCTTTTAAAAGTTGCTGCGGCGCCAACATGGTGCGTTGGAGTGCACGTTCGCGTCGGGCGCATCAGGATCAAGTTGAGCTGCTCGCCAGCAATAACAAAGTGGCCGATGATGATACCAGCGATAACGGTAAGCGAACGGTAAATCTAACGATCAAATTACCGTTCAATTTAAAACTTTTTCAAATCAGACACAAACTTTAAGCTTCTGCTCAATTTACAGTTGCCAAATTTTTAGGTACAGTGGTTAAATTTAATAATAATAATGTATTTAATATCTAAAATAATAATTTAAATAGCCAAAAACTCGATTTATTGAGTGAATCCTGTATGCATTTAATTTATATGCAAGTCATCTATAAGTTGATTTTTCTCTTTTTACCCTTTTCCAGCTGCCTTTCGCAATTCCGCTGACCTCTCGGATACGGATGAAATCTTTCTAAAGGGTCTTTTGCTCACTAATCCATCAATGCCGCACAAGGAACTTATGGTATGTACATAACTAAACACACACACATATACGGATTATTTTGTTGGGTGCATGACCCAGATCCAGATTTGTACAAAGACAACAACAACCATCTGCTCTTTGTCAGCATGAGGAAACATGGGGAAAATCGAGTACGCTTTTCACATAATCGAACAGACAAGAAAAATCATTGTTTGCTCTTTTGGTGTTTAAGCGTGCTGTGTGCATACACTCAAAACAAAAATATTAACATATTGTATTGATTGTAGAAATTTACTAAATGCCATTTAGAGCACAGAAAATGTATACAGAGTAGAGAAAATTATCTCTTCAGCTCAAATAATGGTTTATAGTATTATATTTTGAATATATTTGAACGAAGTTCTTTTTATATTTATTTCATATTTAATTTTATTTTGTTGTTGACATTAAATTGATAAATTACTACATTTTTTTCTTGCGTTTACTTTTTTTTTGTTAAGTGTAAGCATTTACATACAAATGTTAAGAAGAGCAAACGTGCGCTTTGGTTTTTTTTTATTGCATCATTTAATGCAGTACTTTACGCTTGATTACGTTTTTGCTACCATTTAAAGTAGACGAAAGTAAATAAAAAAAAGGGTCCGGGGTGCAATTTCACAGAGCTTTCACTTGGGTAAATCCGAGCACTCAGATAATGTGGTCTGGGCTGTCTTCACGCCATGCCTTTTGTTCTCTTTCATTAAGTACGAAGTAACTGAATGGCACTTTAGTGCTCGTTACGAGACGAGCTTTTATGATAATCGTTCATTATGGCATCGCAATTAACACAATTTCTTCTCACTTAAACTTGACCTTTATTTGTGCGGCGACTCTTTGTACTAATTTTATATAAGTAACATGATGTAAATATTGAATATTAAACGACTGTTAAACATGCAGAAAAAGTTCGCAATTTGCATATGTTGAAAGTTTCGTAATAATTTGACAGGTTTATTGATTTTTGCGAGTAATCAAAACAATAATATATAGAATTTAATATTTGATTGTTGTTAGAAAATGAAGCTAAACACGCAACTAAAGAAGCCAGCAAAGCACAGAAAATCAAAAGCGACGTCGCGTGTCGCAGATAATTAGAATTAGCATTGGGTTTGTTCAGCTGTACACCGAGATTATTACGCTGACCCGTTGGTTGTTGGGAAAGGCAGTGAAAGTAATTAAAAACACAAGTCACGAGACTGCGCTGATAAGAAAAATAACATCGAGAAAGAAAAAAAACTTGAAAGAAATGTCTCTTAAAATTCCACATGGCTATTAAAGCGACTCGCATCGAAAGCACAAATAATAACAACGCCCTACGATAAAATAAAAAGAGTGGAAACCGGTTTGAAAATGGCTTTTCAAAAGTAAATGTGTGCGGCATGCTTGTGTTAATTATGAAAACTTTATGTTAACTTTATGTTACCTGCTCTGGCCGCAAAAACAAAATCAACAAATGCACTGAGACAGAGAAGTGGTTGGCCTACTAATGCAACAGTAGCAGCAGCTACAGCAGCAGCAGCTGCTGCCTAGCATAAAAGCTCTTCAGAGAGCGGCTTTAATGCTCTACGTTGTGAGTCGCTGTTAGATAACAGTAGCCAGTACAGCGCAGCGTACAGTTGTAACGCTTAAGCAACATAACAAGTGTTCACACGCACTAACACTAATGCACACACTGCTAAGAGACAAGCTTGCTCTCTAGCCCTAGAGCGCGCGCTCTCGCTCTCACTCACTCTCGCTCTAGCACACCCAACTGTGCTTGGTAAACTGCTTGTTTCGCTGTGAGTCAGTTACTTGCGAGCTGTGCTAAGGTGAGGTTCAGTTAATTGTTACGTGCGCTCTGCGGCGACTCTGTATGTGCGTGTTTGTGTGTGTGTGTGCGTGCGCTTTGCTCATTTGAGCATGGCTTAAACGGGGACTACAAATATTCAACAGTTAGTTTTGAATATGCGTTCTCTCTCGCTCTCACTCTCTCGCTTATGATCGTTTTTAGTGCATAATTTAATGGTTTAATTTGTATACTTAAAGCCAAGTAAATATGCATTGTGTGTTTGTGTGTGTTTAAATAGAGCAAGTGTTTTGCTGCCTTGGTTACTTAGTCAACAAACCGAACGTAAAAGCCCACAATTTTAGCCTGGCCAACTGGCACTCGAACATGTCTCAGTGAGTTGATGACGTAGTCGCGACTCTCCATTTATTTATTGTGTAACTAACGTCGTCTTAACTGTGTGTTTTGGCATTTCCAAAATGCATGCTCACACATATACACACACAAACATACACAGAGATATATACAGACACTCAGATAGAAGCTTACTCTCCAGCTTACTCACACACTGATAATTTTTACACCTTTCGCTCTTCTTCTTACTCTTCTTCTTGGCTCGCTCGCGCGTTTTGGGAGTGGCTCCAAAAAAAGTGAAAAAATATCTGTGAAAAGTTAAAAGTATTTACTTCTAACTAAATTCGAAAATAAATTAAGATATTTATCTTTTAATTAAAGCTAAAAGCATTTAACTAAATACACAATACAATTTTTTGTTTAAACTTTTCAAAGATTCGTCAGCTCACACGTAGTACGTAGTTTGGGAAAAATATAATAAAATATAATAAATTGCATTGTTCACTTCAAACGGTTTGTGTGTACAAAAATAATAAACAATTTGGCTAATTAGCTATTTACCTGTTGATGTGTTTGTTTTTTTGTCATGACAACAAAACTGTAAGGTGAAAGCCCTTTTGCAACAACAGCAACAACAACAGCCAAGCTCAGTGTCAATAACAGTTGTCATTTGTGTCTGTGTGTGTGTATGCCTGTTGGGGCTAGAATAGGAAGCTCGGTATGGGGCTTCTACTTCTTCTACTTGTTCTGCTTTTCATGCGGAAGAAGAACTGTAATGCGATATTCGCCAGACAATGTGTAAATAAACAATTGCAGAAAAAACTACTGCCTGGAGACAGCGCTAAGCTTTTGTCTGCAAAAAAAGAATGTTTAAGTCGCTTAAGCTTTTGCGGTTTCTAAGCGCTCAAAGAGCTTACTAAGGAGTTAATTTCAAATATTAGCAAATGCAATAAATAACAAATCGATATAAAATACAATGCTCAGTCGATAATTAGAATCCAGAAATATAATTATAGTTTTAGAAAGAAAATTGCATAGGGATTAACTAAAGAATATAGAATATTACAATCATTTATTAATTCTTTATTTTTAGTAAAAAAAAATAATGAAATTCTTACACATGTCATAACAACTTAAAGTACCGCCTGCAATGGTATTCTAATAGAATACATATATATGCATTTTACATACTTTGAGTCACCCACTCAAGTTTTCTCCTTTTCCTTTTTCGTATTCTTTCTTGCTTTGGGCCAATGCAATTTTCTTGTTTTCTTGTGCATTTGTCATCCACGTCAAGCGAAATAGAAAGAATTTCTCGCTGTAGCGTATAAATATTGCATGTGTGACTGACTGACTGAATTGTTATATTGTGGGCGGAAATTGTGGCAAGAGACAGACACAGTAATAACAATAATAAATACAGATGTGCTGGAATTGCATTTAGGGTTGGGGGTGACAAGGGAATCAGTTGAGTAGTCGACGATGAAAGTAATAAATTCTGCAAGCGAACAAAACACGCTGCGGAAGACAAGAATTAAGTGCAATTAAAGCAAAATCAGAAGAAAAAACCAAGACAGAAAGAAAATTCACTTTTTGAGCAGGGCTCGACCCAAATTTGAATTTGAACATTCGACCCAATTTTTGACCTAAGACGCAAAGTATGTCGTCGAGTTAAAGTGAAATAGCCCAAAGTTCGCGGGGGTTAAATGAGGGGGAAAAGGGAGCGAGGTAGAGAAAAGCTGCAAAAAAAAGAAGAGCAAGCTATCAATTAACGGATGCGAACGTCAATTAAGCAGAAGCGAAGATGACTTGACCTAGGCCAGGGCACGAGATGAGATATGTTGTTGTTGATGTTACTGTTGTTGTTGTTGATGAGCTTTGTCCAACGCCCCACTCCCGACTTTAATGCGAGCTTTTTTATTTAATTATGTGTACGTGTGTCGCCCACTCTCTCACTCTGCAACTACTCTCTTTTTCTGTCTTGTTCTTTGCATGTGCTTCTCACCACACGCAGCTGAATCCAACAGAGCCGCAGCCCGTGCCCGCCTTTCTGCCAGCGCATTTGAACAACAAGCCGATCTGTGACGATATCATACGCAAATTTTCGCCCTCCCGTCGCCTGGAATCTCGCGAGCTAGCCAAGCTCTTGGCCCAACCTCACTTTCGAGTAAGTCTAAGTTCGAGTTCAACGATTCTAACGGTAAACTGATGACTCAAAACTCAAGAAAATTTCCCCTCCCATTGTCCATTGGAAACTAGGCTCTGCTGCGTGCCCACGATGAAATAGGATATTTGTACGAACAACGCTTGAAAAGTGCCGGTGGATCTCTAACGAAACTCGAGGCGACATCGCAACGCCAATCGGGCGGCTATCTCTATACGGAAGACATATTGAACAGCAAGATGCCCGTGGAAACGATCAAAATGGTCGGACTACGACGAGATCCCAAGCAGCCGCTGGGCCTCACCGTCGAACTGGATGAGTTCAAACAGCTGATTGTGGCACGCATCCTGGCCGGAGGCGTCATCGATAAACAGGCCATGTTGCACGTGGGCGATGTGATTCTTGAGGTGAATGGCACCGCGGTACGCACCCCCGATGAACTGCAGGTGGAGGTGTCGCGGGCAAAGGAGAATCTCACGCTGAAGATCGGCGCCAATGTCGATGAGGAGATCAAAAGTGGTCGCTATACGGTCAGTGCTGGTGGGGGTCAGGTAAAACAGAATGGCATCACAAATCTTGAATCGGGCAAGAAACTAACGGTAAGTTTTTTATTTGTTACTGCTTTCAATGTGTTTTTAGCAAAATGAAAAACAGACTTCAAGAATTTGCTACTTTTTTGCATGAATTTGTTCAAGTTATTGAAACAAAACAGATTGTTTTTTGTCTATCTGTTCATTTTTAATTGCCTAAATTTTATAATTGATTTCTAGTTACATAAATAAATATATAAGGGCATTTTCATCGCTCATTCTTAAATCAAAATTATTATGTTTTATTAAGCTTGTGAAGATTGAAAACGACTTCGTCGAAAGATCTCAGTTTAAAATGCTAAAATTAACATCTTATCTAAAAAAAATGCCCATATATCAAATTAAATAGTTTACGTCAGTAAAGAGACCCTAACAAAATTCAAAAACAACTGCAACAAAGTAAGTAAATCTTAATAAATGAGATTTCCTTTATATATATATATGAATTCAATTTTAACTATATATAACTAATTGTTTCTTTAGTGTTATATGCGCGCATTGTTCTCATACACTCCATCGGAGGATTCGCTGCTGCCCTGCAGGGATATTGGATTGCCCTTCAAATCCGGCGATATTTTGCAGGTGAGCTTCAATTTTAGACTATATATATATGAGATATTTGTTACTAAATCCCCTTTTTATCTTACAGATAATTAATGTAAAAGATCCCAACTGGTGGCAGGCAAAGAACATCACCGCCGAGTCGGATAAAATTGGCTTGATCCCGTCGCAGGAGCTCGAGGAGCGACGCAAGGCATTTGTGGCGCCCGAGGCTGATTATGTGCACAAGATTGGCATCTGTGGCACGAGGGTGCGTTGTCTTTAATAATTAAAGAAAATATGATTTTATATTGATAAAACTATTATTGTAGATATCGAAGCGGAAAAGGAAGACGATGTATCGCTCGGTGGCGAACTGTGAGTTCGACAAGGCGGAGTTGCTGCTCTATGAGGAGGTGACACGCATGCCACCGTTTCGCAGGAAAACTCTGGTGCTGATTGGCGTCTCCGGTGTGGGCAGACGCACGCTCAAGAATCGACTGATCAACAGCGATGTGGACAAATTTGGAGCAGTGATTCCACGTATGTGAACAAAACATACAATCGATCTGTATATGTATTATTGTATATGTATTATTTTAAACAGACACCAGTCGCCCGAAGCGCGCCTTGGAGGAGAATGGCGTTAGCTATTGGTTCATGGATCGTGAGGAAATGGACGAGGCCATTAAGCAGAACGAGTTCCTCGAATATGGCGAACACAATGGCAATCTGTATGGCACCCACTTGCAATCGATCAAGGATGTGATCAACAGTGGACGCATGTGTATTTTGGATTGTGCGCCGAATGCATTGAAGATACTGCACAATAGCCAGGAACTGATGCCATTTGTCATATTCATCGCTGCACCCGGCATGGAGCAGCTGAAGACCATCTATGCCGATCGTCGTGCAACCGGCTCCAATAGAAATCTATCGGTACTGAAAAAGATATATATATATATATATATATATATTAGCTAGTTGTAGCTTAGAACTTATTCCTTAAATCCTTCCTTACAGTTCGATCGTCAGAGTTCCATACGCTTCAGCTCCCGGCGTGCACGCACACTCGAGTCCCTGGCATCGCTATATGAGGTAAAGAGGTTCAATAGTCGAGACTTCTAATATTGACTTACGCCCAATCGTATCCTGCATGCATTAGGCCACCTTAGTAGCATTAATTGATCTCTGCTTGAATTCACACAACATGCTTAACACATACCAACATTATTATTATTATCGCTACGAACAGGATGACGATCTCATCTCGACGGTGGAGGAGAGCAGCTTTGTGCAGCGTAAATATGAGAAATACTTTGATATGATCATTGTCAACGAGGACTTCGATGAGACATTCCGTCAAGTTGTGGAGACCTTGGACCAGATGAGTCACGAGGAGCAATGGGTGCCGGTAAACTGGATTTACTAGAAAATGCTGTGCAAAACCTAGCAGCGAACGAATTATTCTATCTTTAGATACCTATTGTATTCAATCGCAAACGAAATATCTACTTTATCTAAAATCTATCTATCTATATGCAATATTGTATAATTTCTTAATGATGCCCATCGTCCATATTTTATATTTTTGTTTAAATTGATTTCCTTAATTATAAGGCTAATGTTATACTATGTATGAAACGAATTCGTCCTTTTGCAAGCTGTTCTATTTGTATGACAATTATTTTAATTACGTATATTTTTTTATTGCATTTCTTTGGGGCAGACAATCGCTCCTTCTAGCTGTATTCTCCATACACCGAACTTTTTGTATGCATATCATATACATTTATATATATAGAGATATATATATATATGATTAATTTAATGAATCTCTTCGAGTACAACCAATTCTAATTTACGAATCATGCTCTGCCAATATTTCGTTAGTATTTAGTTCAAATACGTTTTGTTTTCTGAGTAAATTGTAATAAGTTTGTGCGATAATTAGCAATTACACAAATTTGTACAACAAAACACAAATCGAGTTACAAATAAACAAAAACAACGCGAACCAAAAATATTGTTTAGTGTCCTTTGTGTTCTTTTTTTTGTCTTTTTGTGCATTCTGTTGTTTAGTAAAGTATGTACACACACCAGTGACACTTATTTGGTTGCTGTATTGGCTAACTTGCGCACAACTAAAAATGTTGCATACATTCGAGAGCATATGAGCGATGAGGAAAATGAGTGGAATTAAAATAAATCTCGGAAACGACAAGTACGCTTTGGTTAGCCAGTTGGTAGCCCTAGTTGAAAAAATATGTTTATCAGGATCTGCCAGGATATGACCGAGTTATGAGCAAATTTCTGCTATTGTGAAAGTCCTTTTATTTCAACTGTTTGAAGAACTTTCGTCGGTTCGCGGGTTGTCGTGGAACCCACAATATAATGCACTTTTATTAGTTGTGGTTTCCAGTTGTTTTTTATTAGCAGCTAAATCGCTAGAAGTTGGTAATGTTTAAAATGTTGCTTAATATGTGCCATTAAATGTGAATGCCCATTGACTTTTCGACGACGGCATGCGGTTGACGCAAATTCTCATTGTATTCGGGCAGATTGAGAAAGTCTTCAAACGAGATCTCATCACAGCGACCAGTCAAGACATCGTCCATTATGTTGCTGCAATAGAATCAAATAGTCAATAAATTCTACATATACTAATACATCTACTTGACACCTCACCTGGACTGCAGAAAGGGTAGTCGTCCAATCTGGCGAGCCGCAAAGCGATCCATGCCCATTTTGAGTGGCGCACCGAGTCCTTCGCGATTCCTCAGCATTTGCATGTCGATGTTGTATCTGTGATCGTTGTAATTCAGCTCAGAGTCCCGCAAACGATGAACGTGCGCCAATTGGCTCAAACAGTTTTGTTCCGTGGGCAAAGCAGCCCGGCCGGATGCATTGAGAACATGCACATCTGTTGGGCGTACTTTGAGTGATTGCTGATGCTTTATAACAAGCGGTTAATTTAGCATAAATTGCTACTATATTTGACCAACTACTTACCATTTTATTCGTGAATTCCAGAAATGAAACAAACTTGCAATGACAAAACAAAATTTGTGTTTGACTTGAAGTGAGCTGCGCGTGATTCCTTAGCTCGTTTTGGCAGTACTGTATGGCAGCACCGCGCCGCGATAAGCGATAAATTTACAATCGACACAGGCTGTGTGCTAGCAAGCAGCTTTTGTCTCCGAGAGAATAATTTGAATAATTTAAAACACAAAGTTTAACTGACTCCAAGCGAGTGTAAATTTTAAGCTATAGAATTTGAACAAAAAACAAAATAAATAAAGAAAAATTGGCACATAGAGTGCTTTGATTAATTTCACCCTCGATCAAATGTTTGCATCTCGTGCTCTCGTCGCCCTCTAATCAATTCAATAAACAAATCAAAACACTGAAAAACACACAAATCAAATTTGTTGTTTATTCATATTGGGCTTTTTTCTTCATTTGTGAAATCACCCACACCTTTTAGCAGCTTTTTTATGACCCACACTGTTCCACAGAGCTCCAAAAAGTCAGTTTCAGTTTTTCTGTGACAAACTGCTAGAAAAAACAAAGGACAGACAGCGAGAGTTTAATTAGTGCATGCTTACTAATAAAACTTGTTGCTTAATTTAAAAAAAAACAAAACTCACACACTGGATTCGAATTGTGTTAATCAAACTCCCGCATAAAAGCCCGCATATTGTCTGCGTACCTCTGATCTGAACTTGAAACAAGCAAACAATCAACAAAAAAAAAAACCAAACACGAAAAATAACCGGATAAAACTTTGCAAGAAGCGCGTGAAGAAACAAATATGTATCTAGGCATAAATTAATTATCTCGATCATGCTTGAGATAAGATCTGGTTGGACCTGGCTGTATGAACAGCATTTCTTTTGTTTAAACTTTTAAGCTGCATTCAAGAGCGATCTCTATCCACGAATTGACTCTAAATAATTTGCATTTCAATTTCAAAACGCAAGCAAATATTTTTTTTACATATTTTTTTTTTTGGGGTTTTCACGCTTGAAAAAATTATTAGTGTCATGTGAATGTGGTGTGGGTGTTGATTGTTTTTGGTATTTTATTTTTGGTTTTAATTAGGAATAATTAGGAATTTACAGTTAAACAAAAGCGTATGGTGTGCGACTGTTGATCTGATGATCAATTTTGATGAGTAAGACACTTTAAATAGTTTTGATAGAAACGAAATAGAGCAAAGAAAATTACTACAACAAATCAAAAGACTTACACAATAACTTGTAGCTTTCCTATAAAGATGTTGTTGAGCCATTCCATACATATATGTATATATGTTTATATATACTTATATGTAGTTCATTCAAGAAACTTTCCTATAAAGATGTTGCTGAGCAATTACATACATATTTAAATGTAGTGCTTTTCAAGAAACTTTCCCATAAAAAAAGTTGCTGACCAGCTACATTTATATTAATATACATGTACATTTAGTTCTCAATAAACTTTCCCATTAAATAATGTTGCTAACCATATTTATAAACATATATGCAGTTCTTCTGTTGCAGACCAACTACATAAATTCGTATACACATAATTGTAGGCCTTCTCAAGAAACTTTCTTATAAAAGAAATATTGCTGACCAACTTCATACAAATGTCTATACACATTTATTTGTAGTTCTTCTCATGAAATATTCCTAAAAATAAAGAAAATGCTCCACAACGACTACAAACACATATTTGTACAAAAATTGTAGCTTTTTGTCAAGTGTGGCCAATTGTACGAAATCAAGTACGTCCAACTGCGGCTCTCAACCGTTTGATTTATTATGCAGCAGATTAAGTAAATCGGAAATTGTGCCGACTATGGAAAATATACAACCTGTCTAGATTTGAAACGTGTGCAACAACAAATCGTATCGAATCGAATTCATAGATTGTTGCTAAAAACGGTTCGTTCTCAGATCAGCGGGTGTTGTTGTTATTGTTGTTGATTTCCAATTCCCAATTCCCTTGACGCAAAATTGAAAATATTTTGACTTGCAAAAGACACATGAGAAGATGAGTAACGAAAGAGCAAAAGAGCGCAGAAACCAAACAAGCCCGTTTGCCCCGATAAAGGAAGTGTGCGCTACATTTTCACACCTACATGCTAAAAAAATAAAACCAAAAAGAGAACGAATGAAAAAAAGTGAACGGTATTCGGGCAAACGAGGGACGAAATGAAAAAAGAAGAAGAAGAAGACGAAGATGCATCGCAGAAGATTGCAGGCGTTTGTTTGCATTTGTTTTATGCCGATTTCGAAGCTAAATTGGAATCCACTTTCGGGTTTCGGTTTTTAACTCTTTGGGTCTTCAGCCGGCTGTAACGAATACAGTCGAAATAAATATCATGTTTGACTTTTGCCGACAATTCACTTCTTTTTTTTCGGGTTTTAGCTACTGCATTACACATTGTGCGTGCATTTTTGGTTGGAATTATTGAGAATTCACAGCTTATGTTGCAGCTTGTAATTTGTGCGCCATTTTGTGACATTCTCAAAAATGCATAAAAGAGAGAGGGAGAGAGAGAGAGTGAGAGAATGGAATGCATTCCAAAGTGATTTATGATCGCTCTTCTACTGAATAGCGAGAATATTGAATAGAGGAGAATAAGAAATGCAGTTGGCAGCCGTCGCCATAAAATGTACGAATGATCTTTTTAAGATCACTCACGCAAACGGAGAAAAGTTTTATGGCATGATGGCGGCTTGCTTAATTGGCACCCATTGGATTGCCCGAATCCCCCCTGCTAACCCCGAGACAGAGAGAGAGAGAGAGAGAGGATAACACAGACACTGCCAATCATCGTAACTTCTGCTTACAGCTGCGCCATTGACGTCTTTCGGGGCCCATAAAGTTTATGGCTGGCCAAAAAGTAACGTACGTTCGAAACTCGAAGTTTTTGAGTCTGGTTCGTCTGGCTTTCGGTATGTCTCTATTAGTGATGACAATAGCCTGACAGCATCCAACGATCCAACGATTATAAATTTTATACCATATCGACATATGTGAATATATTTGACTTTTATGCATTTATTGCTGTGAAAAATTTTTAATTCTTACGTTATTCTTTTATGTATTTGACTTTTACATTTCTGTACACTCTTCTCGCCCTTTGACTCTACCACTTGCATACATAGTTGACTCTTTGGCGATTGAGTCGAGGCGACTCGGTTCTCGAAGACCACTACTACTATGTATTAATTGGCAGCCATCAATAAATCGGAAAGTGTGCATCGTAAATCAATCGAAGCGAAAGAGATTTTGTGTCAGGCATAAGAAAAAGTTTAGTTCGAATGTGGATAATGCAATTAAAGCGCATTAAAAGCAAAATTACTTTTGATCAGCTGATCTTTGACTTCCGCTCAATTATTTCTTTTAAACAGTTAGGTGTAAGAGCAAGGAGCTTTTCGGCGACTACCATCGAGGAGAGTAAAGAAAGCATGCAAGCAAAAGCGTAGCGAAAAGGAGAAAAAGGGAAATTTGCATTTGGATTGCTGGCTGAAGACCAAATCAATATGCAATCAGCTTAACCTCGAACGAAGAGTTAAAAGTCCAATCACTTAATTATTAATAATTGTTTTGACACCTTACCCCAATTAAAAACAGGAAAAAACTGACCTTTTGCACAGCGATAGAAAAAACACGCGCACTTTGCAATCAACCCGAGACAGCACTTAGCTGTAAGTGCAACAGAGCGAACAATAGTGACTGCGAGAGCGTCAATGGCGGTTGACGTGAGAAGGCGTAGGCAAATGTAAATAAAATTGACAGCTCTGCTTCTTCTTGCTCGTAGGTGGAGCATAACAGCTGCTGCTGTTGTTGTTGTTGTTGCTATTATTGTGAACCAAATTAACCCCACAAATGTAATGTCATAATTTGAATTTTTTTTAGTGTTTTATTTTTTTTTTATTCAAATAGCACATGGATTTTTACATAAATTAATTGCTGCGATAATTTAACTAAACATTAAATTACATGCACGTGTGCTTTAATAATATATATATTTGATATGTGGGCAACAACTCCCTTTTTTTTGTATATTTGACTTATGTTAACGCTTTATAATATAATTTGTGTGTTGTGCACCAAATGTGTGTTAAATGTGCATATGCATTTGTGTGTTTGATTGTTTGTTTCGTTGTTGCTTTCGTTTATTAACATTAAATTGAATTTATTCTAAAAATATTCTACTAACTAACTAATTGTTATTACAGCATTTAAGTAATAAACGTTCAAGTTGTTGTTGCTTCTGTTGTTGTTGTTGTTCTTGTTATTATGTTAAATATTTACATGTGTGTGATTGTTTGTGTGTAATCAAATTGCACCAAATTATTACTCTTTTTTTGCTTTTCTTACGTATTAACTAAATAATTATGAAATTTTTGTGCTTTCTCAAAGATAAATGCCAGAGCGGGACGGCTATACAAATACAAGTTTAATATTATGTGTAAATGTGAATTTAATTTGTTTTTGTTGTGTTTTATAGGCTCTTAACTAACAGCTTTTGATTAGTGTTAACTAACATCTCATAATTAATGTTAACTAACAGCTCTTAATTAACATTTGATAAACTTTAACTAGAACCAAAAAAACAAATTGAATACAAATAAGGCGCTGTGACATTTAATATATATATATAAAATACAACATATATTTAGGGGGCAGGCTGTATGTTGTTGGTGGCGGGGGGAAGGGAGGGGGCAGCAGGGAATATACAATCACAAAAATTAACAACGTGCAATATTCAAAAAGGCGCCGCTGCCCCAAAAAAAGAAAAAGGAAAAAAAAAAACAGTCTGACTGTTAAAAGCCAACCCTCAACAATAGAAAAAAATACAGATGTATAGTAAATATAAGACTTAAGCCAAATCCACCGCTAGATCACTTGAACACGCTGCAAAGCTGACGCCGCTCACCAATTGTTGCTGCTGCTGATGTTGCAACATGTAGTTGTTGCTGCTGCTGCTGCTGTTGTTGCTGCTGCTGCTGTTGTTGGGATTGCTGTGATTGTGATTTGGATACACATTCGCTTCAACTCCGACTGCAACTCCTTGGTAATCACCATGTCACATTGAAAGCGTGCCGACGCCAACAGCCGCTGCCGACATTTGTTGCTGTTGCAACTGATGGGAATGTGCCGCTGCCGCAACCAGCGAATGACTGTGCGCCGTGAGATGTGGATGCAGACGCATGGCAGGCAGATTCATGGCAGCCATCGGATTCATTGAGTGCAACGTATGCTGCAAATGCAGTCCCGGCTCCAATTTCGTCTTCGCATCGAGCAACTGGCTGTACTCCGTCTGATGATGAATGCCGCCAACGCCGCCGCCTCCCATCACATTCGGATCGCTGCCCTTTTTGTTCTGTTTGCGCTCCTTGGCCCGTCGATTCTGGAACCAGATCTTCACTTGGCGCTCCGACAGCGACAACGATTGCGCCAATTCACTCTTACGCCGTATGGTTATATAACGCGATGTGCAATACTCCTTCTCCAGCTCCAGTCGCTGGAAATCTGTGTAGACCACACGATACTTGTCCTTGGTGCGCGTTTTGCCTGAAAAGCAGAAACAACTTTCATTAGTTTGGCCACTTAAAATGAATAATATCTATAATAACATAACAATAACTCAAATTTATTAATTCATACATTAAAAGTTGATTACAACTCTGACATGTCCATGCTTAAAAAATATTTATTATACTTTTTATATCATGCTTAAAGGCAAATTTGTAAACATAAGACAGAAAAATAACCGCTACAAATGAGAAAAGCTATTAAACTAAATTTCACAAAAATAAATAAATATAATTAATTTTTTCATAGAAAAACCAACTTCATTTCCCATAAATTGTTCAATTTGTAATGAATACAAATATACCTTCTGGCATATTGCACATATTCTTCTCTGTAAATAAAGACTGGATTATTTTGTGTAGCTATTTCTGTGAGCTACCACAAAAAGATCGTGTGCAGCTCTGTCGTCACCATCCAAGTCCACGTGAATGAGTGACAGAGTCTGCTCGGTTCAGACTGTTGAGTCTGTTGAGTCAGTCAGTCATTCGGTTGGGCAAACAAGTCATCCTTCCAGCTGCCCATCATCTTCATCGTCGTCATGCAACAAGCCGACAATATTTGAATTAAGATAGGCCATAAAATGAGCGTAAACGATCAAAAACTGTTGTTGTCAACCAATGCGGTAAACATCAAAATTTTCAACTCGACTTGCCGCCCAACACAACTTATGGCCTTTGGGGCGCCGCCAAAGACACCTACCACACTAGAGACGAGTGGAGGGCGTGTGGGAGCGGGACCAACTTCAGAGACCTGGCCAAAATGTGGCGCTTGGCGTTTGCTGCGCAATTAGTCAATCAAAATTCAAATAAAAATGACAAACAGCCAAAGACGAGGCATGAAAAAGGCCACGGGATCATGTCATGCCATATAGTTGCCTACGTGATAAACACACGCACACTCGCACACACACATTGCAGGAAAAACTCTCGACTAACCCAACAACTCAAATGTAAACATGACATTTTTTTTTCTACATTGGGATTTTGCTCTAATTTTTTTTTTTTCTGTACATTTTATTTTCTATGTAGTACTACGTAAACCACAATTAAAATCGAGCAAACAAGCGAACAAACATACAAATATTTTCACAGATGATAAGTTCAACCAGATAAAAGGGGGGAGGCACACACAGACACAGACAGAGACAGAGAGAGAGAGAGAGATAGAGAGAGATAGATATAGGTATAGGTGTTAAAGACCTTAAAATGCGCTGCACCTTCAAATGAAATACGATTTGATATTTTAAACTAATTTAAATTATGGCAAATGATGCGATTTAAATGTAAAACAAAAGTTGTTAATTGAAAATATAAAAGTAAAAAACAAAACGAATTTAAATTTCGGCAAATATTGCATTTTATGCCTGAGAAACAAGTTTTGCTGATGATTCAAAATAAAAACAAGTTGCTTGAAAAAAGTGAATTGCCCAAAAGTAAAGGTTAAAAATATAGAAATAGAACCCATTCGCTGGACTCCTTATCTTTTTGTCGCTCTCGCGCAATCGTATTTATTTTTTACACTTTTGTTTAGACATGAATTTATAGCATTCGCCTCATCATCTTCATCTTCATCTTCACCAAGAGCATTTTCTGTTTGCCTAGTCAAATGTGTGGCAATCGTCATATAAAACACAACAAAAAAAAAGCAGAAAGTTAAACAAAAAGTTAAAGCCTCATTCGCAGCTAAGTCCACACGATTCTTAATCTAGTTAGACATATCTATCTACAGTTCTACGGTCTGTGGCCCAATTATAAATCTCGCATCTTTAGGCCTGTTTGCAATTTTAGTGGAGTCATTTTGGGCTTTTGGGTTTGCGCGTGTTTTTGTTTTTGGTTTTTCTTTTGTACTTGGCCAAGTGGCGTGGCTAAATTGGCTAACTGATAAGTGCCATAATGCCGACCGACCAACCGACGACTAATGCTGATAATAACCCAAAACTGTTTGAACAGCCTTAGAGTTGGCAACTTGTTTGGATTTGATTTGAGGAAGTGCACAAATATTTGTCACCATTAAAAGGCAGAAAACGAACAGGAAAAAAGCCCACAATCATCAAGTTGGATTTAATTGTGTAAATTGAACAAAAGTACTAATATTTATTTATTAAAGTGCACTTTTTCTGCTTTTTATTGTTGTTGTTATTGTTTATGTAATGTGAAAATAGTTGAAATATTATTTAGTTACTTGGTGACAACAACAACTAAATTTAAATAAATAATTCTCTCCGAGTATCAACTTGTGCATATTCCCCATGAAGTTAAATAAACTTTAGTCTCATTAGAATATTAATAAACAAAATGTTGTAAAGAGCAGCGAATTTAGTACATCTTGAATGTTATTATAATATTTCAAAAATAATTGTTTGTTACCTTTTCAAGCATATATCCATTCTGAACTCAAAGTTTAATAAAAAATAAATAAATTGTTGCCGTGTTGAGCATGCATTAATCAAATATTATTATTAAAATTGTAACTGTTATGTTTGGTAAATAAAAATATTGACAACTCGTAAAATACTTTCTGCAAGAGTATAAAAGTAATATTTCAATAGTCTCATTTAAATATTAATAATAATTACTAAATGCTTGTCAGAGTTTTCTTTTAATGAAAGAAGAGTATTTAATAAATCTTTGGAGTAAGTACAAAATATTCCAAGACTATAAAACACTTCTACTAAAATTGTCTTACATAATTCTTGTTACCCAAAATCTTAATGTGTAAAATCTGTTGCTCGATTTAATCTGGGCATATGCACAAGTTTATCTGTTGGCACAAATTTCTCACACCTGCTATGCGCGCAGTGTAAACACTATAAAAAAAATAAAACAAAAACAAAAAAAAAAGAAAAAAGAGTCTAGCACTATTTAGAGCAGCCCAAAGTGGAGCACAATGTTGTTGGGGGCTGGTGGTGCTCGGTGGTTGGTGGTTGGTGCTGCTCGGCTGTATCTCTGACCTTCACGGCCATAACCATAATCCAATAAATGGTGTATACCATATATAAAACTATAAAGTTACTAACCCATACTCTGAGTGTTTTATTATCTGCACACACTGGCTAAATACGCACACTTTATGTGGACCAAAAGCGTCTATCGCTCTCTCTCTCTCTCGCTCTCTCTATCTATCTGTATCTCCATCCTTTTCTCTCTGTCTGGACAAACAGCCTTAGATAGATAGATCTTCACAAGAGTTGCCATTTTTTTTTTTTTGTTCCTCTTTTGTTTTCCTCCTTTGATAAGCCACACAGCTCATAATTCAAGAGTCGTAAGCCCCTCCCGTCAAAAGAAATGTATAAATAAAAACTAAAGTCATTTTTGCAAACAATACGAAAGAAGCAACCAAAAATGTTGACTTTAGTAAGCCGAATTCTCAGCACTCTTGCAGCGAAAAGTTTCATTTAAATTTCAATGCAATTTCTGTTTACCGGCCAAATTAATCAACCTTGTGTAAGGGTATTTCAAAAAACCCTGAGCTTGGGGTATTAATGTTAGACTTTTAGATAAAGCATGCTAATATCCATATATATACAAAGATATATATACATATATATATATTTATATATATATATATATACGTATGTGTGTTTTCTTTGAAATAGATAGACACACACACATTTTGTGGCAGGCAAAGACTTAAAAGTACAAATACATTTTATTCGTAATTAAATAAAATGCTGCGTGTACTGGAGAAAAAGGTGTGACATTTTTTTATGACTTTGTCACTGGCAACTTTTTATGTGGGGCACTGGGCGGGGAGTTGGGGGTGGGCTGGTGCCTAGTTTGACGTGGGTAGGTTGTACAAATAATTTATATAGAAAGCATAGCGGGCTACACTTTGGTAAGTGCTCCAATTAAGTGTGACAATGATTTTGTAATTGAAATGAATTTCAACTTTACAGCTCCAACTTGTGGCAAGTATAGAGCTATATATACATATATATATATATACATGTATCTATCTCCATTATGATGGATTAGTTGACATTGCGTATATCATCATCGTACAACATTTGCTATCGTTTCCATTGGCGGCATAGTTCAAATGGCTGCACTCCCTAATCCCAGTTGAGGTCTCTATCAACAACAAAAACAACAACAGTAACAACCACAAATCAAGCCAAGCAGCAGGAGTTGCATGTTGCAAGTTACAGTTAGTGTTAGGTTCTTGGGGAATCGAAGTTATTGGGGCTTTGCTGTGGCTTTCGTCGATAAGCTTTAATAGCTATTTGCTGTGCATCGACTGTGATACCCAAGAGTCTACAGTTAACAATGCATCTATGTATCTATCTATCTATCTATATATACATATATGTATGTCTATGTCTGGTTATGGATATTGATCGTAGCACTTTCATTCACATTGATTGTCGTGTAATTCTATTACACTGCGATTAAATTTGATAGCTATTCTAAGGAAAGTTTCGCGAATGTGAAGGTGAATCCTATTTAAAAGGAAGGTAAAGTCTGTGAATTGTTCAGTTATGGTACTATATGAGTTAATTATATCGGTTTCTGTAACTGCTTTTTGAAGAAATTATTGAATTTAGCTAAGAATTTTAAATTTCAATCGTTAAAGTTCTGGATTTTATCCCTTTTCTTTCACTTAAGTGTGACTATTATATAATTTCCATAGGAACTATCGATCTCCATTTCCCCAACTTTGTGAAAACTGAATCGATTTCTAAAAGCAATGTCTTCTTATATCATGGTTAAACTTCCAGTTTACTACTGTATTTCAAATCGGAAACTTGATTTTTGCTCGAATTTCATTCAGAACTTTTAGCAATCCATTAAACCTTTCTAAATCGTGTGATTTATGAATATACAGCTTTATATATAATCGTCAAACTTTGTACTCCTGCGCTTTAATCTTTCTCAAACGATTTTCTATACAATGTCTTTATTCTGATTCATTTGCAGAGCTATAAAATTCGACTTTGAACCGCATTGCTAAAACTGTAAAGTAAATAGACGTAAATAAAA